CACGCTGCTGACCGGGCAGACAAACATCACCGGATCTGAACACGTTAGCACTCCAGAAACGAAGGGGAGTGTTGGAAATACCTCAAAGGACTTAAGCGTTTCTGAAGTGTAACACTACACTCGAGGAAGATCGCAACGGGTACGCGAGTCAACGGAGGTTACACGAGGGGATGGACAAAGAACGCAAAGGGACTCGAAGGGTCGCAACTGGAGGTTGCGACTGACCGTTACAACTGCACGAATGGTAACCGAAGCGACAATCGAGTCGCTGTGCGACTCGATAACCGCTCCTGCAACTGTATTCTACAACTGCTTTACTTTCCTATTTTCTATATATTGCTGTATGCTTGTTTCTTTAATCAATCACTTGTTCTCATATACTAGTACAAGGATTCAACTACTCAACTTCCGCTGCACTACTCAAGTCTCATTCTTCAATTGGGACTTAGTCTCTGGAAAGATCCTAAGGGCTTTTCTCAGCCCAACAGGGTGCACACGATTTTAGTTGGAGGAGATTTAATGAGCTCGCCTACCAACCGCTGGCCAACCCTCTATTCTGTCGGGTCCTCTCCCGATATAATCGGACTATTCTACGGAAGACTTAAAACCACAGGCTAAAATAGCAAAGGGGGGCTTCAAGTGAGCCCCTCTTGAAGTGGGGGCACTTTTGAAAAAGTTGGGTTGCTAGAGCGAAATTGACAGGGAACTTTTTGGGCAACTGGGCAGAAACGAACCCACCATAATCCACGCCTGCGGGAGGTTGGGCGAATTCGGAACGCGTGCGACGAGGTCCCCAAATCCCCGCGTGACATTTCCGACTGAGAATGAAAGAGATCACTGGGGCGTGTTCTTTTTGTTGATTCAACCCACACGAAGTTTTATGTGTACAGGGTTGGGACGCAACTTGGAGCAAAATGAGCTGCAAACACAGGGCAGGGCGCCAAGCGCGAACACGCTACAACCAGGAGTTGCAAGAGCCCAACTGTACGCGCCAAAAGACCCGAATCCAAAACAGCGTAACTCACCCTATGGAAAATGTTGATAAACACGTATGCAAGTGTATTATTCATAGTATTGGTCATGAGAATAACAACGTTGAGCATGTTAGGAGCAAGGAGTATACGGAAGTACTTATTGTTGTCCTAATTCACTGTAGTATGCAGCATAATAAAACTGACTTTTGACTAAAAACGACTTGCACTTGCACTCCCTTAGCTACCTGACCCAGGTACCCTGAGTTCCAGAACTGCGAAGGACGGGTGCCATTATGGGTTGGAAAAGGGGGGGGTAAAGGATAGGGGGTTAGTGGTGGGTGACGAGTAGAAGCATAGGGCCATGGGAGAGCACCTGAGCAAGGGTGTGAACAATAGGGTTGAAGGGGAAAGTGATTGACAGATGGGGAGAAGGGATGGCAAGACCGGCGACCTAAAGAGGAACCAAAGTCCGGCCATAAGTGTAAGGGGTAGCGGATGGGGGAAAGGCTTGACAGGGTGGGGAAAATGGGAGGGAGGATGGGGGGAAAGGATGGGAGAGGGTAGCGAGGTAGGGAAAGGAGGTCTTTGCCTCGACGACAATGGGACGCTTGACAGGAGAGAGCAGGGGTACAGCAGAGAGCAGGGGTACAGCAGAGAGCGGGGGGACAGCAGATACCGGGGGGACAGGAGAGAGGGGAAGAACAGCAGAGAGGGGGGGAACGGCAGAGAGCAGGGGAACAGCAGAGAGGGGGGGAACAGCAGAGAGGGGGGGAACAGCAGAGAGCAGGGGAGCAGCAGAGAGGGGGGGAACAGCAGAGAGGGGGGGAACAGCAGAGAGCAGGGGAGCAGCAGAGAGGGGGGGAACAGCAGAGAGCAGGGGAGCAGCAGAGAGGGGGGGAACAGCAGAGGGGGGGGGAACAGCAGAGAGCAGGGGAGCAGCAGAGAGGGGGGGAACAGCAGAGAGTAGGGGAGCAGCAGAGAGGGGGGGAACAGCAGCAGAGAGGGGGGGAACAGCAGAGAGCAGGGGAGCAGCAGAGAGGGGGGGAACAGCAGAGAGCAGGGGAGCAGCGGAGAGGGGGGGAACAGCAGAGAGCAGGGGAGCAGCAGAGAGGGGGGGTACAGCAGAGAGGGGGGGAACAGCAGAGAGCAGGGGAGCAGCAGAGTGGGGAGGAACAGCAGAGAGCAGGGGAGCAGCAGAGAGGGGGGGAACAGCAGAGAGCAAGGGAGCAGCGGAGAGGGGGGGAACAGCAGAGAGCAGGGGAGCAGCAGAGAGGGGGGGAACAGCAGAGAGCAGGGGAGCAGCAGAGAGGGGGGGAACAGCAGAGAGTAGGGGAGCAGCAGAGAGGGGGGGAACAGTAGGGAGTGGAAAGAATGGAAGGAATAGGACGGGGCAGACAAAAAGCCGTACAATCTTGAAACCCAAAGATTAAAACCCTTCCTCCTACTCAGCATTCCCACTCTCCCAGCCTTTTGATCCCCATTTCCTTGCCTTTCGTTCCCCCTCTCCTGGCCTTTTGTTCCCCCTCTCCTGGCCTTTTGTTCCCCCTCTCCTGGCCTTTTGTTCCCCCTCTCCTGGCCTTTTGTTCCCCCTCTCCTGGCCTTTTGTTCCCCCTCTCCCTGCCCTTTGTTCCCCCTCTCCCTGCCCTTTGTTCCCCCTTTCCCTGCCCTTTGTTCCCCCTTTCCCTGCCCTTTGTTCCCCCTCTCCCTCCCTTTGTTGCCCCTCTCCCTGCCCTTTGTTGCCCCTCTTCCTGCCTTCCCCCTTTCCCTGTCCCCTTTCTCCCTGCCCTCCACATTTCCCTGTCCCTTTTCTCCCTGCCTTCCCCATTCCCCTGCCCCTATCTCCCTGCCTTCCTCATTCCGCTCTCCTCTCCCCCTCATTTGCCTCTCCTCCCCCTTTCATTCCACTGCCTTTTCCCCCCACTCCACGCTCCTCTCCCCCCCATTCCGCTCTTCTCTCCCCCTCTTTTCCACTCTCCTCTCCCCCTCATTTGGCTCTCCTCTCCCCCTCATTCCGCTCGATCTCCCCCTCATTCCACTCGCTTTCCCCCTTCCACTCTCCTCTCTCCCTCATTCCGTTCTCCTCTCCCTCTCTTTCCCCGGCTCGCCCGCCTCGTTCTCCCAACCGTTCAACCAACCGTTCTCCCAACCGTTCTCCCAACCGTTTGCCCGACCCCGTGGACTAAGTTCTCGCGCAACTGGCGGGCCACGGCGACGAGCAGTCGAGGGAGGGGCTCACTATGCTTCACGAAAGGGACGCTAACTTCTGGGCGGTCTTGCCCACGTGTTGCTAGCCGTGTTACAAGCACCCGTGGCTTGCTGCCTAATAGTCTACGCGAGCTACGGTTGTCAATAGGGACGGTTTGGCTCCCTATAATGCTTCCACCCCGTATTGCCGCCGCTACTGCACGAGATGGGGTCTTTTCTCGGTTCTAAAGGGTCACGCGCACGCGGGGGACTACTCCTGCTCGTCCTCGCGCTGGACGATTTTTTAGAGCGTGGAATTTTGGCAGGAGCTGCTCTAAGCTAGCGTAGGTGACGGGGTCTTCTACGTTTGGAAAGCAATAGCACACCTGGGGCTCACTTGAAAGTCTGCCTGGTGGCGGGTTGTCGCAAGGACGTAGTTTTGGTTGAGCATTGCGACCCTTGAGTTTGTCGCGAGGTGCTAAAAAGGGGGGTTACGATCCGCTTTGCACCGTCATCCAATCACCTCGCGCTGCAAAATCGCAGCATTCGTTTTTTCGCGTGGGGGTAGGTGTACCACTGGAAAGTGGGCTCTTTCCTCTGACCCTAAAAAAAACTAGATTTTCAAGTGCACCCCCCCTTTGCTATTCTAGCCAGTGGTTTTAACGGACAGGAAGGGGGCGCTGATACCAGCTGTTATGAATTAATCAGAGTAATAACAGGTAGTGTAATAAAGGAGTGGTGATTCAAGAGTGTCGATACAAATGAGGGCCTAGGCATTTATAGGCATGAACAGAGCCAGCCGAGAACCACGCGAACAGATTTTGGCAATTCGGTTGGCGAAAGCCACGGAAGCGCTGCGCGTCGAGGTTTGGGTTCGCGAAGTGGTTTGGGACCGAAGAAGTTGGCTGAGCCTGGACTTCCGAGAGTCGAGGGCGTCCGCGCTGTAGTCAAGCCCACTGAGGAGAAGGGAATTTCCTTTGAGTACCTTATTGCTCAAATGCAGAATTAATCTATAAGCGGTGTTAACCTTTTTCTTTTCGTATCAACGAGCTCCTCTGATTCGGGTGCAGAATCCGACTTCGGTCGGCCCAATCAGCACATGAATTTTGCCCGTAAATCACGGAACGGAATTTGACAATTTTTGTAACCCCAGTCAGCTTCACGTCAGCGTGCACGCCGCCATCCCCACAGCGACCCCTCGATATCATCCTGCTGCCTGTTCTTCCCCAACCCAAACCATCGAGCTCAACCAATCGCTGAGTGACTGCGAGTGAGGTTCCTCTCTACGTGACTGATTGCCCTCCATCCATCCATCCCATTCAACCACCGTACAGCTCCTTCAATGAAACCCTAGCGCTTGCCACCTCTCGCGCCAAAACTCGATGGAGCTCGAGGGTTTCCAAGCCAAGAAAGTAGGCTCGGGCATGGAAATCCCAAGGCAGACGCGACTGGCTGGTGCTGGGCAGGGCACAGTCACAGTCCAGCTTCTGACAAGCTTGACTCGACTGATGGGCCAAAGAGGGTTCGCTGGACAAGCTTGGTTGGTCACAAGCTTTTGCTGCCTGCTGCCTGCTCCCTAATGCACCATCACCACGAAGACCTTGCGCCAAAATCCTGCTCTTGCCCCTCGATGACTCACACGCAAGTGTTTTGCGCCAAAATGCCGAGCCCAAAGCCACGCTGAGAATCAGGCTCGGCAACCGATTTGCTGACGCCAAGCCGTTCCGAACCACGGAGGCGACGTATTCCTGCTCTGGTTACTGTCCTCGCAAACGGAGTCTGCCATCACACGATGTAAAAACGCCTCTTCGTGCACTCTTTGCTCAGTTTGCCATTCCCATGCCACGTTTTCCGTCTCCTTGAGCTTTTCCTCCTCCCCTCTCTTCCTCCCCTTTCTTCCCCATCATCCCTATGGCGGCCGTCATCCCTCCCCTAGAGCGTCCCCCAACCTCCTTCCGCGAGCCCAGCCCCTCCCCGTCCCTCACGAAGCGAGTAATCCCTTACCGCTCCGAACTCCTGACAGAAGCTAAGACTAGCAAAAAGCATGGCTCCTTAGCTCGCACCACTCAAGCACGCAGCCAACCGAGCACCGTCCATAGATTAGTTTCTCCGCCTAACTTTCCGAAACTGGGTCCAGCCACGCCGCGCGGCATTTCTAAAATCGCATTAACTGACTTAGGGTTAGAAGATGGGCCACCTACATCGTCCTACACTAAAGCTGCCGAGACATTGTACCTTTCCCTAGCGCGCCACGGCGCTGCGGTTATCGAGCCGTCGCGCGAAGATGTAGCGCTTTTGTGTAGAGCGCTGGAGTCGACGCGGCTTTACTTCCGTAAACGGGCCGAGGCTTCGCCCTTGGAGCCGTCGGAATGGAGCGACCGTGGCGGTTATTTCACCGCTCCTTCCAAGGACCTGTATTTCTACAAGGCTGGAAGGTGTGGAATATAGCCGTTTAAACAAAGATTGTAACTTTTTATTTCCAATCTGTAAACTGACGTTTCGTTTCTTTGAACATGGCAGGTCCATCAGCGAGGGGCTCAACGATTTTTGCCCTCCAGGTTTTCCTGAAGCTTTTAAGTACACCGGACGCGTTTCACGGCTTGCGATGTCCGCCATTGCTAGGCACCTGAAGCTTCGTGGCGAGTAAGCTATCACATTTATCTCGCTTTTCGTCTCGCAGCGTTCATCGACTGACTTCTTTTATTTTGTTCTGTTTCGTTGCGTTGTGTTTTCTATTTTCCTGTGCGTCGTGTGCAGCTTTTTCTCTGGGTTGCTCGACGACTGTCCTTTGCCAGTCGGCGAGGTCTCGTCGTCCGTTTTAGCGGCGACGTGCCAAAGGAACGACTCCATCGTCAACCATCCCACGCCCGGCGACGGCGCAGCGAGCGTTTCCGAGGCCTCGGAAACGGAGAAGGGACTTTTGATGCTTGTGACGGCCGATTTCCCTGGCCTTCAGGTAACCCTTTTCTTCGCGAAGTTCGCACCTACGCCAATCTTTCGTTGACCGGAAGGTCTCGACATTTGACATTTTCGCCAACCGTCGCGCAGGTCTGCAATTCCGAGGGCGTCTGGTCGCCGGCGGACCAGGGTGTGCCGCCTGGAAGCCTGCTGCTGCTGGCTGGCCATTGCCTCCATCGCGCCACGGGCGGGCTCTGCCCCGCCTCCACCTACCGCGTGCTGCCGCCCGCCTCGCCAGGAGCCACAAGGTGATTTTCCCGTTGAACTTTACCATCTTCCTTTCCCATTTGTTATTTTCCGTTTCCGTCTTTTTATTTTCCTGTAGCGGTTTTTGCCTAAACGAATTGGTGGGGAATCGATCGCAGGTGTTCGTTGTCGTTCCGCCTGATGCCTCGTCCGACGGCAGCGATCGACTGCTCTCCGCTGGTCCAGGCGGGTCATGTGGTTCTCTCGGCCATGCGAGACATTGTGTACGCGGGATCGTTCCTGGAGTCGCTGAGCTCGTTTGCTCATGATGCTGGGAGCGATTCTAAGGAGTCGAGCATGGTGCGTCTCGTGCGTTTACATGTGTTGCGTTAGCTTCTCTTTATGGGTGCGCCTCTCTTTTATCTTTGTGCTATTCGTTATTGTGTTTAACGCTTTATTCCGTGCACGTTCAGGCCGTTGCGTGCAAGTTGGAGAAGGCTTCGCTTTCGTCAATGGTCGTAGACCCTGCCTCGTAAGTGTGCATATATTTATCTTCCAAGAATCGCTCTTTCCTCACGGTCCTCCTGACGTTTCGTCTTACTGTTCTGCAGAGGAGCTCTTCTTGAGGATGCAATGATTGCTTCATGTGGCCATTCCTTTGGCGGTGCAACGCTGTCAAGGGTCATTGACTCTGTAAGATCTCACACATTAAGTATTGCTGCTTCGCCTCTTCTTTTCATTTCCTCTTTTTGTTTTTTTCGGTTAACTGGCACCAGACTTACTTCTCTTTCCCATCCATATGCAGATGCTCTGTCCCTATTGCATGGCCTCCATAGACGTCATCTCTTTGATTCCCAACCTCGGTAGGCAGTCTTCCCCTCTGTCCACACCCTCCCGCATCTCTCCCTTTTCGTGGAGAATCTAGGTTTTGAATCTATCGCTGAATCCGTCACTGGGTGTTTCTGTTACAGCCATGAGGTCAGTCGCGTCTTGCTTCCGCAAGGGCCTATCACATGGAGCAGGCGTCAAGGTCCCGAAGAGAAAACGTGACAAGGAGACTGGAGAAGGGAAAGCTCCGTCTGACGCTGTAAAACGTCGCCCCAAGGTGAATCATTCGTGGTTTTACCATTTGAAGATTTCAGATCTGGAGTACAGGCATAAATGCTGATGAGCTTTGATGCGTTCCCTGAGCAGAGTGAGGATCCAATGCTTGCTGGCTCTTTCGAAGGAGATGTCCTAGGCCGTCCAAGAGGAGTGCAATTTCCTTTTTCTGTGAATGACAAAGTTCTGATCAAGGTAAGTTATACCTCGGTTTCTCTTTCCTGATTTTACATGAGAAGCGTCTGGTTGTTAACGGTTTTTTTCTACGTTGCAGGGAAACAAGCGCACTCCTGAGAAGTTTTTTGGCAGGGAGGCAATAATTACGTCTCAGTGCTTGAATGGCTGGTATGCCTCTCATGTTTCCTTCTGCACCTCAGAAATGTGTCTTTAATTTCCTCCTGCGCCAGACACTCGTGTCTGTCCTTTGACTAATTTGACCATTTCCGCAATTCCAGGTACTTGGTTCGCATGCTTGACACTGGCGAAAGTGTTCGCCTGCAGTACCGCTCCCTTCAGAAAAGTGGTGAGTTTTATTTATAAGGGCCTTTATACACTTCTGTTTTTCTTTTTTCTGTCCCTTTCTTTTTATCTTTTATATTTATTTGTGCTCATTTTCTTGGGCAGATGGAACACCTCTAGAGGCCAGAGACGCACGTCACTCTAGCAGTCCAGATGTTCAGATGGAGACGAATCCTGAAGCGGGCTCTCCAGCAAGGAACTGGTGGGAATCGAAGCCTGCTGCTGGAGGAATGTCATCCCTGCTGCAAGAAGATGACAAGGATGACAAATTTGGCCAACCGCTAGCACTCCTGGAGGATTCTGTCCCACGGCACAGCCCTCCTGGTGGGGCTCCATCCACGAGTTTGCTTGGACGGCCCCTGCTTTCACCACCTCCCAGTCATCTGCCTCCAGCAAGTCCTGCTGCTGAATTGGCAGGAGCTCGGGAGTCCCATGCGTACCCTGGAGCCCATGGATCAAGCCTTGCCAAGCAGACCCAAGCACTGATCGCTGCTGCAGCAGCCATGGAGGAGGAGTCAAGGGGTGCTGCTGTGAATGACCATGAGTCCTCTGGCAGCCAGCCTTCGCTTGCTCCTCGTGGAGAGCAGAATGTGGAAGGTGTCACTGACAGACAGGAGAATTTTGCCAACCCAGAGATGGCCAGCAGGCAAAGACCTGAGTTACCTGGCCCTCTTCCTCTCTGGATGTCTCCGATCACCGCTACGTCATTGCTTCACCAAGCTATCTCGGACGCTCCAACTAACAATCCGGGACATGGTGGCGGGTAACATGCAGGAGCTCTCCAGCATCTGACCATCTGATCAGTAGTTCTAACCTGGGAAAGAACTGACCGAACTGAACTGACATGGTCACTAACAGACTCGTTATTTCTCAGCCTGGGTGCCCAATGGTTTTCCTGGAGTGCAGTGATGTGCTCGTGACAATCTGGTTAATTGCTGCTACGTGTGTGCAGCTGCATGCGAACTGACCCTGATTGTCTAGCTAATCGACTTTTTTTTTTTCTAATTTGTAATTCTGCTTGTCCACCTGCTCATTGTTTGCTTCTTACATGTAAGGTAAGGTTGAAATGCTTATTGATCATGGGAGTATTTGGATAAATAGCTACCTCAAATGAAAACCCTTCGCTGTACAGACTAGGGTTGAGGACAAATGCCAACCAGTTTTTACAGCACAGCACCGATGATGCATGCCATCGGAGTCTCCGAATGGCAGCTGTGTGAGCCTGTGATCCATGCTGTGTCGTCCCCATCCTCGTCATCTTGGTAGTCAGTGAAAGCTCCACCAGCGCCTGCAATTCATCAAACCCCAATCGCGAAAGCCACAGTCGTTTCGTCAAAGTCTTCGCTAAGTGCCGAGCCCCTGAATCAGCCTTGGCACTTGGCTCTCGGCTGACGAGTTTCGTCCCGAGCCACCAGGGCGAAAGAATCTAGGCTGGTTACAGCTCCTCGCAGACGGATAAACGGCATCTTCAACTGCTGATGAAAACCATGGCTGGTTGATATTCGTCCCGTTTTCCTGCATCTTTGCTGTTTCCGTCTTCCACTTTTCCGTCTCACCTTTCCACATCCCATCATCATCTCACGCTAGGGTTTCACTTCTCTACCATCATCTCGCGTGCATCCCCCATCCTCCCTCATGGCTTCCGCCATCCCTCCTTCCACCACTCAGCAGCTTCCCCCAACCTCCACAGTCCATGACGCTCCTCTAGCCCTACCACCCCCTCCTCCCCAGCAAATGGTGATTAAACAATGCCCGCCTAAGAGCGGAAGAAAGCGTAGTTCTCATGGCCGGAATACGCAAGCTAGAGCGCAGTCCAGCGCCGTAGGACCACCAGCTCCGGAAGCTGTTCAGACCGCAGGATTCGCCACGCCACGTGGCGTTCCTCGGATATCCGTAGACGATCTTTTACTAGAAGACGGCCCTCCGTCGTCGTCGTTTACCAGGGCTGCTGAGACGTTGTTCCTTTCGTTTTCGCAGAACGGGGCGGTGATTCTTGAGCCGGCGCGGCACGATGCAGCACTGTTATGTAGAACGTTGGAATCCGCTCGGCTTTATTTTCGCCGGCGAGCGGATGCGTCGTCGTCGTCATTGGCATCGTCGTCGCAGCTCGAGACGCCTGAGTGGGATGACGGCGGTGGCTTTTACAGCGCACCGTCCAAGGACTTGTACTTTTACAAGGCGGGAAGGTATGGTTGGCCGGACGGCGTTTGTCAGCCGCCACGAAGAGGCGAATTTCCTTGTGGATTGATGACACCCTCGCTTCTGAATGATCCCTTCTGGAATAATCCCTTCTGGAATGATCCCTTCTGGAATGTTGCAGGTCGTTGAACGAAGGAATCAACGACTCGTGTCCGCCGGGGTTTTCGGAGGCGTTCAAGTACATGGGGAGAGTTTCGCGGTCCGTCATGTCCGCTCTCGCGCGTCATCTGAAACTTCGTTGCGAGTGAGTCTTCGTTGCGGCACCGCTATTGACTCGCCGTGTCAGCTCTCGCGCGTCCCTTGAGAGTCTGTTGCGAGTACGTTTTCTTTCCGGCGTCGAGGGGTTTCTTATGTTATTTTCCGCTCATTTTTACCCATTTACAACGACACTTTTCGCTTCGTTTTTTGCCCTTGTTTCTGATTTATTTTTTTCCCCCTCGTAAAACTGCCGCAGTTTCTTCTCGGGACTGCTTGACGACTGTCCGTTGCCGATCGGCGAGGTGTCTTCGTCCGTGCTCGCCACGGCGTGCCAGCGCAGCCAACCGCCTCAGGACGGCCAAGCCAGAATGATACCGGACGCCACCGAAACCGAGAAGGGCCTCCTAATGCTCGTCACGGCCGACTTTCCTGGCCTTCAGGTAGCATTTACATCATGATTTTTTAGACGCCTCAGTACTCGGATACTTCACATCAAATTTCAGAAGGAATCATTTCCATGCGTGAGGAGTCTATTTTTGAGGCGCCTCAAAAAAAGAAGGGTTCATTTCCCGACTTAACTGTGAAAGTCCTGCTGTTGGCGAAGGTGTGCCATTCTGAGGGCGACTGGTCCCCGGCGGACCAGGGCGCGCCGCCTGGAAGCCTTTTAAGTTGACTCTAAACTCAGCATGTGACATGTTTGCCACCCGTCGCGCAGGTGTGCAATCCCGAGGGCGTCTGGTCGCCGGCGGACCAGGGTGTGCCGCCTGGAAGCCTGCTGCTGCTGGCTGGCCGTTGCCTCCATCGCGCCACGGGCGGGCTCTGCCCCGCCTCCACCTACCGCGTGCTGCCTCCCGCCTCGCCAGGCGGGCTCACTGCGCCGAATAGGTCAGCTGATGGGGAGATGGGGGACGTGGGAGGGGAGAAGGCGGGAGGGGGGACTGGTTTTGAGGCGCCTCAAAACTGCGTCGAATAGGTCAGCTGATGGGGAGATGGGGAGATGGGGGACGTGGGAGGGGAGAAGGCGGGAGGTGGGAGGGGGGAGTGGGGAAGGAGAGGGAAGGGTGTGGGCGAGGGGGCTGGGGGGAAGGGTGGGAGGAGAGGGGAGGGTGGGGGGGAAAAAGGGGAGAATTGGGGTAGTCCGACCGTGGATCCACAGCGTCGAGTAGGCTAGCTTCTGATCGACTCAAAAGTAGGTTAGCTGACGGGGAGATGGGGGAAGTGGGAGGGGTGGGTTTTTGCAGGGGAAGAGGAGGATGCTGGGTTTGGAGGGTGTTTTTTATAATTCTCAAAAACACCCTGCAAAATCAAGGAGGGTGCTGGGTTTGGAGGGAACCGTCTGCTTGATTACTTCCCTCTGTCACGGCCCATCCCTCCCCCCCACTACCCCCCAAACGCCTCCCCTCCTCTCTCACTCCCACACTCGCCGGACACCTACACTCTCCTTCTCTCCACCCCGCGCTTTTCCAACCGTTTCGGATTGTAATACCTTGGGGTTCACTGCTGCAAGGGTTGGCTGTCCTTCCGGCTCCTGCCGCGGCCAGCCGCAGTTGTCATCCCCTTTTTTTTTCTTTTTTTTTCTACCGTTTTTCGTCATGCTGGGCCTGGGATTGCTGCAGGTGCTCGCTGTCCTTCCGGCTCATGCCGCGGCCAGCTGCAGTGATCGACTGCTCCTCACTCGCGCATGCGGGCCATGCCGTCCCCGCGTCCATGCGGGAGACCGTGTACGCGGGAGCCTTCATCGACGCTCTAAATGCGTCATCGGCTGACGTGGGGGCCGCTGAGAAAGAATCGAGCCTGGTGAGTCCGTGACTTTCGTTTCGTATCGCCTTGTCAGGTGTCTTGCCTGGTGTCTTGTCAGGTGTCTTGTCTGGTGTCTTGTCCGGTGTCTTGTCTGGTGTCTTGTCAGGTGTCTTGTCAGGTGTTGCTCTCTCTCCGCCCGCAACATCGGCACGGCCGCGTAGATGTTGTTGCAGGTTTTTTCCCCCCTCCGAATTCCTATTGACTGCCGGCAACAATTTAGGTTTTTTTCTTTTTTTCTTTGGACAGTCATGTAGAGTGGATGGTGTCTGCTCATAAACTTTGCTTCTATTTGTTCTTGCGTACCTTTCACCAGGCCGTGTCGTGCAAGCTCGAGAAATCGTCCCTGGCTTCAATGGTCTCGGATCCCGTCTCGTGAGTCGGGAGGAGGGAAGGGAGGGAAGGAGGAGATAGGAGGGAGAAAGGGAGGGAGGGAGGAAGCGAGGGAATGTGACACTGGGAGAGTCAGGTAGCGAGGGAAGCGTGTCCCTGGCGTCAATGGTCTTGGACCTCGTCTTTTGAGTCGACTCAAGAGTGTGTCCCTGGCGTCAATGGTCTTGGACCTCGTCTTTTGAGTCGACTCAAGAGTGTGTCCCTGGCGTCAATGGTCTTGGACCTCGTCTTTTGAGTCGACTCAAGAGTGTGTCCCTGGCGTCTATGGTCTTGGACCTCGTCTTTTGAGTCGACTCAAGAGTGTGTCCCTGGCGTCAATGGTCTCGGACCTCGTCCCGTAAATCGTGAAGGAAGGGAAGGGGAGGAGGGAAGGAGAGGAGGGAAGGAGAGGAGGGAAGGAGAGGAGGGAAGGAGAGGAGGGAAGGAGAGGAGGGAAGGAGAGGAGGGAAGGAGAGGAGGGAAGGAGAGGAGGGAAGGAGAGGAGGGAAGGAGAGGAGGGAAGGAGAGGAGGGAAGGAGAGGAGGGAAGGAGAGGAGGGAAGGAGAGGAGGGAAGGAGAGGAGGGAAGGAGAGGCGGGAAGGAGAGGCGAGAAGGAGAGGAGGGAAGGAGAGGCGGGAAGGAGAGGCGGGAAGGAGAGGAGAGAAGGAGAGGAGGGAAGGAGAGGCGGGAAGGAGAGGAGGGAAGGAGAGGAGGGAAGGAGAGGCGGGAAGGAGAGGAGGGAAGGAGAGGAGGGAAGGAGAGGCGGGAAGGAGAGGAGGGAAGGAGAGGAGGGAAGGAGAGGAGGGGAGACCATGGGTTATAGTGGATTCAAGGAGAGGGGCGGCGAGGAATGGTGAAAGGATTGAGAGAAGTAGAGAGGGAGATAGGGTAGTACAGGAGGCAGGGAGTGGCAGGTAGCGAGGGAAGGGAATGCAGCACTGAGTTATGTGCTGCTCGCGTGCGTTGCTTGCAGGGGCTCGTTGCTGGAGGATGCAATTAGGGGGAGGCAGGTGGCCAGCGGATGCACGACTGAGTCGTTTGCTGCGCTGCTGTGGTGTGCTGCTCTCGTGCGTTGCGTGCAGGGGCTCGCTGCTGGAGGATGCGATGGTGGCGCAGTGCGGCCATTCCTTTGGCGGCGCAACACTTGCACGAGTCATGGAGTCGGTGAGCCACATAGAGGTGACTTTTGAGTCACCGGTGCCCGTTTCGCACCTTTTAGAGTCGACTCAAAAGTCACCTCGAGTCATGGAGTCGGTGAGCCACATAGAGGTGACTTTTGAGTCACCGGTGCCCGTTTCGCACCTTTTAGAGTCGACTCAAAAGTCACCTCGAGTCATGGAGTCGGTGAGCCACATAGAGGTGACTTTTGAGTCACCGGTGCCCGTTTCGCACCTTTTAGAGTCGACTCAAAAGTCACCTCGAGTCATGGAGTCGGTGAGCCACATAGAGGTGACTTTTGAGTCACCGGTGCCCGTTTCGCACCTTTTAGAGTCGACTCAAAAGTCACCTCGAGTCATGGAGTCGGTGAGCCACATAGAGGTGACTTTTGAGTCACCGGTGCCCGTTTCGCACCTTTTAGAGTCGACTCAAAAGTCACCTCGAGTCATGGAGTCGGTGAGCCACATTCTCGGCTGGTTACCCGCTGTCGTGCGGATGCCATGCCACCCTCCTGTGGTTTTCGTGTTCCTCCTGCCATTTCCACGCGCCTTCCCTGCAGATGGTCTGTCCCTACTGCATGGCTCCTGTCGACGTCATGGCTGTTATTTGCTGCTGTTACCTCTGTTATGCTAAACAGCAAATAAACACAGTGTTTACCTCTGTTATGCTAAACACTGTGCTGTTACATGTCCCTGCTTCCTTGCCTGCAGATGGTCTGTCCGTACTGCATGGCTCCTGTCGACGTCATGGCCCTCATACCCAACCTCGGTAAACACTGCTGTCGTCCTGTCTGGGATTGTCTGCAACACTGCCGCGTCCCCTTGTCACTCCTCGTCATTATGGGCTATAGATTGCATACCCTCACTGCATGCCCTCACTGCATGCCCTCACTGCATGCCCTCACTGCATGCCCTCACTGCATACCCTCACTGCATGCCCTCACTGCATGCCCTCACTGCATGCCCTCACTGCATGCCCTCACTGCATGCCCTCACTGCATGCCCTCACTGCATGCCCTCACTGCATGCTCTCACTGCATGCTCTCACTGCATGCTCTCACTGCATGCTCTCACTGCATGCTCTCACTGCATGCTCACACTGCATGCTCTCACTGCATACCCTCACTGCATGCCCTGACTTTGCACACTCTAAGCCCCATCCAAACCTGTGTGCTGTGGCTGCAGCGGTGAGGTCGGTGGCATCGTGCTTTGGAAAGGGCCCGTCGCACCACACAGGGCTGGGCGTGAAGGCCCCCAAGAGGAAGCGCGAGAAGGAGCACCACGGGGAGGGCAAGCTGCTGCTGGATGGCTCCACTCCTCACCCAGTCAAGCGCCGCCCCAAGGTGCGCCCTCTCCCTCTTGCTATTGATGTTTTGGCTATTTTTTCGGCGCCTCAATTATTGCCCCCGAGAGGAAGCGCGACAGGGAGCAGCACGGCTAGGGCAAGCTGCTGCCGGATGGCTCCATGCCGCAACCAGTCAAGCGCCGCCGCCCCAAGGTGCGCCCTCGCAGTTGTTGGTGCTTGTCGAGAAGTTCATAATATACCTACCGCATCAGAGAGCAGCACTGGGAGGGCCTGCTGGTGATGGATGGCTCTACACCTCAACCAGTCAAGTGCCGCTCCAAGCTGGTTCGCTCGCTCTTTTGCTGCTAAACTTCTTGGTTGTTTTGTATTCTGATGCGTTTTTTATGTTTTCTTCTCGTCCTTTTGGGGAAGTACTGAAGCACTGAACTATTTGCTGCGTGTTTTCCTACAGCCTGACGACTCGGCGCAGCTAGGCTCTCCTGATGCTGAAGGCGGAGGCAGACTGAGAGGAGTGCAGTTCCCATTCTCTGTAGATGAAAAGGTCTTGATCAAGGTAAGAAGTTTGTCCTGCGATTGTTGTGCTGCTTGTTGGATTCAGTGCATTGCAAAAGAGATGCTGATGATTCTCTCTATTGTGTGCAGGGCAATAAACGGACCCCGGAGAAGTTCTTTGGCAAAGAAGCTGTTATCACGTCGCAGTGCTTGAACGGCTGGTGCGCTCCTTCACCTTCCTTGCTTAATGTTACCTGTTTAACTTTTGAGTCGACTCAAGAGGCTGTTATCACGTCACAGTGTTTGAACGGCTGGTGCGCCCCTTTGCTGTCCGAGTCCTACCTTCAGGTTACCTGTGTAACCTGCAATCTGCCAGTTTACTGCATCGCCTCACCTATTCCTTCCTACCACTTCACTTGTCACTTCACTCGGTCACTTCTCTCTGTGCTTGCTGGCTGGCTGTGTGGCAGGTATCTCGTGCGCATACTGGACTCGGGTGAGAGCGTCCGCCTACAGTACCGCTCGCTCCAGAAGTGTGGTCAGTCCAGCAGCTTTCGGGCCTTTTCTTTTTCTCTCTCTCTCTCTCTTTCTTTCTTTTCCGATTCTCATCAGGAGAACGGTTGTTCCCGTCCTTATTTCACATGCCTCCACAAGTAGCCACTTCCACATGTTCATGTCTTACTGTTCTGTTTCTGTTCTGCACTCTGTGTGACTGCAGACGGAACGGCAGTACAAGCCAAAGCCGAGCCGCACCAACGCACCGACACCGCCGAACCACAGGCGGATGCAGGGGGGGAAGGGGTGGCAACGAGCGGAGACAAGTCCTGGTGGGTGGCGGGAGAGAGGCGCATGATGGGCGAGATGTCCGCGCTCCTGCAGGCCGACGACGACTCGGACCACCCACCATCCTTCCCTGACGACGCCCTCCTCCCACCCAACCCCTCCGGTGGCACTCCCCTGTCCCCATCCCTGCTGGGACAATCCCTTATGCTCTCTCCCCCGTCCAGCCACCTTGCCCTGTTAAGTCCGAGTCCTCAAATGGGTAGGCCGTCTGGTGGTGGTGGCGTGGAGTCAGGGGAGTACGGGTGTGAGGGGTCGGTGGGGGCGGGGCTGTCGCCGCCTCTGCAGGGGGCGTCGCTAGCTAAGGGGACGCAGGCCCTGATTGCTGCTGCTGCTGCCGTTGAGGCTGAATGCAGGGGAGAAGCAGGTGGTAGTGGTGCTACTGGTGCTTGTGCTACTGGTAGTGTTGGTGCTACTGGTGATGGTGGTGGGGGTGCTCCTCATGGTGCTAGTTATGATGGGAGGATCCCTGCTGCTGCTGCTGCTGCTGCTGCTCCTGCCAGTGGAGGCTATGGGAGTGCAGGGGGCAGCAAACAACATGGGGGGCTCAGACTGTCCTCGGGTTCTCAGTCCAACCAGGGTTTGGGTAGGATGGGCAGTGCGGACAGACAGAGCGGTGCAGACAGACAGGGTGGCGCAGACAGATGCCTGTCAGACCAGCAAGGGCCGCTGCCCCTGTGGATGTCGCCTATCACCGCCACAACGATTCTGCACCAAGCGATTTCTGATGCTGGTGGTGGCAGTGGGGAGCAGGGTGGGGGTTTGGGAGTGCTGAACGACCAGGCTGGCTAGTGTACATCATCTAAGCCATGGATGGGTTGCTGCTGTACAGGTTCCATTCCTTACCTTGTGCTTGATCATTTGGTAGGTAGTCATGAGGTGCAGTCACAAGGGCTGCTGTGTTTTTGTCATTGGTTGGGCTGTGTCTGAGCAAAATGCTTGTGATTTTCGTGGGTCTAGCTGCCACATCCCTTGTTTGTGGTATATAATAAAGATTCACCTGCATCCGGCTGGTGGATGTGCTTGCAGCTTGCGAGCTTTGCTCTAGTGATGCCCCTATTCTCAATGTGGCATACTAGCTGTTATCTTATGGCAGCAATCTCGCCAACTCCAAGCCCTCTCCAGAGGTCTTGCGTGAAGTGTGTTATGAATTACAATTCAGAGTTTAGCGCAGTATTCAATAAGGGGAACGTGATTATGGAGTGTTGATAGAAATGAGGCCTAAGGCAATATCTAGGGCGATTGACCAGGGTTGAATGTCGAGGGCCAGTCAAGGGCTCGATAGTCCCGAGGGTGATGGGGTCAAAATGGGTTCGGGGCGACTCGGGATGAAAAGTTCGGCAGGGGCTGGTTTGGCGCGTGACTTGAGGGCCGAGAGGTTTGCGCGTACTCGCTGTGGCGAGCCCCATTAAGGAATGGTAATTCCTTACATAGTGGGAGGTGTTTCACATATATTTAAACACAATCAAAATAGGCGCTTTCTTGTAACAATTATTGCTGTCGTTCCGATTTATGCCTTGAAGTCAAAAGAAGTCCCGGGCAGCAGCTCACGGATTTCAGCGGCGGCGTCCAGCATCTTTGGCCAATGTGTCTGCGCCTTCACGCAATGTTGTCGCTACAGTCATGCCTCTTCGTCCATCTGATTGGTTGGCGGTAGGACTTCGGTCCGATCGAAGATTTTCCCGAGCGTTCCAGCCCAATAGGAGTGGAATGGGGTCATGGAATCATGGTTGCGAATGCTAATGCGCTTGTGACCCGTGGTTCCGCTCGGCTCGGCAGCACTTCGCATTTGCATGCACCATCGAATGTCGTTCATCCTCCCCCCCTCTCCAAATGTTATCCATGCCACATGACCCGTCAAGATTCTCCGAACCGAACCATACACCCCTGACTTGAGGTCATGGACTCATGGCATACATGGTCCCCCAGAGCCATGATGCACGGCTGAGATGACATCGACATCCTCATGGCCATCGCCTTGGTTTTGCCGAGGATTCTCGCCTTCGTCATCTCGAAGTTGCCGAGTCTGCCGAGGGCGCGTCCTGAAAAAGGTTATCGCACTGAAGACTAATATAACGCACAGACCACGACGCAAACGTGCCCAACCGAGCTGCACCAGAAATCAATGACGATATTTTTTCGTCTGTCCTTGCACAATCCTGTTTCACTCGAGTCAGTACGGAGCAGAGGGGTCCATGGTCGATAGCAGGGATGAGCATCGGATGCTGCAGGGTCCGAGACGTCTCTAAGGAGAGTATTAATCCCAGCTACCAGTATTCTCGTCTCCTGTCCACATGTAGTCCCCCCTGAGAGGAGATCGTTCTCCTAAATCCAGAATCCGGAACCGACCCACCAACCTACGTCAGCACATCGTCCACCTACGCCAACCAATGCCTCTGTGCCACGTGGCTCGTGTCCGTCAGCCATTCCGTCAGGTAGACAGGCTGCCGGTCAAGCGCCTTGGTCGCCGTCGATCCAGGGCGGCGGATGTGACGTTCACGGTCCAGATGCTGGGATAACCGCCGTCGAGATTTCATGTACAAAAGGTGCCATCCGCCGGGCAACACAGCTTCCATCTGTTGGATTTCGCGCCTCTTCAATCTTTCTCGCGCGTCTGCTGTTCAGTCACTTGTGCTCATCGTCTCCCCAGCTGCTGTTCTGCTAAGAATGTGGCAGTCACTCGTGCCTGCCACATTCTTAGTCGCGTTTCTTCCCGCCCGTTTCCTCGGCCTCTCTCCTCTCGTCAGTCCGTCCTCTCCTCGCCCTTCCTCTCGCGCTCTCTCGTTCTTACCCTGCTTTGAAATCTGAGGAAGAAGCCTTTCGTGCCTTCTCTGTTAATCATGCTTCGGTGCTGACTTCCTTCCCCCTCCTTCTCCCCTTGCCCTCCCCCCGACAGGCAGTAGCGGCGGAGCAGGCGGAGCTTGAGCGGGGAAACGCTAGAGTTAACGTTCGAGAATCTACAAAATCTTCCTCCTTTCCTCGCCCCTCCTTTCCTCGCCCCTCCCTTCCTCGCCCCTCCCTTCCTCGCCCCTCCTTTCCTCGCCCCTCCCTTCCTCGCCCCTCGTTAGCTCTCCCCTCGTTTCCTCGCCCCTCGCTTCCTCCCCCTCGTCCCTTCTCCACCAGGAGGTGGCGGCGGAGTGGGCGGAGCTTGAGCGCGGAAACCATTGAGTTGGAGTGCGGTTACCTTCAAAAGCTCCCCCCGTTCCTCTCCCCTCGTTCCCCCTCCACCAGGCAGTGGCGGCGGTGCGCGCGGGGCTTGAGCGCGGAACGGCAGCCAATGCTGCCGCTTCCGCCGCAGCCTCTAGTATGACCATTTTACCCGCCGCCTCATTTTCGTGTGATACTGGGAAGCGCATGCATCTGCTTATAGTTGGGACGCCGCGGAAGGAAGTACATGTAGTTCATCCAAGCGACGTTTGAGTCGTCTCAAAGACGTCTCAACACACCCTTCTCCCCACAGTGTCTCGGGAAAAGCCGCGACTCCTAGTCCTCAAAAGCTTGTTGGTTGTTGCTAGCCTTGCTGTCCGGCGGAACCGCTACCCTCCCTTTGCACGCGAACTGCTGGCTTCTGCTATCGCTTTAGACTGCCGACCGCTGCGCCACTAGAGTGCCTCAAGGCAACCTCGACTGCCTACCCTGCCGTCTGCCTTCCCCTCGCTTCGCCTCACCTCCCGACCGTCAACTCTGCGAAAGGTGGTAGCGGGGGCGAAAAGGGTTACTGCCTTGCTAACCTTGACAGCCCGATGGAGATCGCTTTTGGGGATCGCTCGGTAGTTGAATCAGCGTCTCGAGATCCCTCGGTTGTAGCAGCGCGTGGGACTAGAAAGACCTCGGTTGTAGCAGCACCTGCAAAAGGATTCGAGATGGCACCAGAGAGCTCCCACGTGGTCGTCAATATGGACGGCCTGACAGCCCCAGCTGTAGCACCGCCTAAAGAGGGCGTGGGTGAAGCTGTGCCTGAGCAGGATGGTGCGGAGAAAGTCACCCAGGGGCGGGGCATCTGGACGGGAGACGATGCAGCTGATCGAGTTGCTGAGAAGAAGTCAGCAAGTACAGATTTGGGGAGACCGAGGGGCGAAGACAGAAGGGATTTTGAGAGGCGGATCTTGGAGTTAGAAGGGGAGAGGAGGAGGCTGGAGGGAGAGAGGGAGGAGATGGAGAGGAGTGTGGGGGAGGAGGTGAGGAGGAGGAGGGAGGTGGAGGAGGAGGCGGAGGACCTTAGGTCCGGCATGCGCCTTGCCGAGGCTAAGCTCTGGCAATGGATGGAGGCTCGGAAGGTGGAGTGTGGTGGAGGAGGAGGGAGAGGTGGCGGCGATACAGGTGTTGTTGTTCCTCCCGCTGCTCCCGCGGTTGGTGTTGGTTTTGGTGCTGGCGCTGCTACTGCTGCCAGCGTGAATCTACCTTCTGCTCACTTGGCCACGGCCGACGTGGCGACTGCCGACGTGGCCACAGCTGACGTGGCGACTGCTGACGTGTTGGGCTACATGGAGGACCTTCTCCTCCACCAGTCCTGCATGCTGGCTCGGGAGCGAGCCCGGCGAGCGGAAGCTTCCAGGAAGCGAGAAGAAGCAGAGGGGCGGCGGGGAGAAGCGGAGCGAGCACTGAGAGAGTTAAAGCGGCAGGTGGGAGTTGAAGAGTTAGCTTTGCAGGTTAAGGCAGAGAGTCAGTGGGAGGATCATCTTTTGAGGGAGATTTTCTCGGTTGAGCGAGATGTCGAGGCGTTGAGGAGCGAGGTGAGGGAGAAGGATGGGGAGGTGGAAAGGTTGAGGGGCGAAGTTTCGAGGAAAGTGGAGATTTTGAGGCGGTTGCACGGGAGAGCGGTGAAGATGAGATCTGAGGCGGAGAGGACGATCCGACGGCTGAGGTTGGAGCTTGAGACGGCGCGGGGGTTGCTGGAGAGGAGTGAGGAGAAGGCGAGGGAGAAGGGGAGGGAGGTGAGAGATGAGATTAGTATTTTGGTGAGAGAACTAGAGGGGCTGAGGAGTGGGAATGAGATGGTAGTAGATGCCTTGGGGGAGGCGAGGAAGGAGGTGGTGGAGGAGAGGAGGGAGATTGAGAGGGAGAGGCGGGAGGGGGAGAAGGTTGCAAGAGAGGTGGGGAAGCGAGAGAAAGGGAAGGGGAAGAAAGGTAAGGGGGAGACGCTTGAGAGGAGAGAGGAGGGGTCGGCTGATAGAGATGAGGAGGCGCAAGGGGGAGGGGAGGTTCGGGTAACGGGGGGGGAGATTGGGTTAACCGTGGGCCGGGGGGAAGAGGGAGGTGGGGAGGGAGAAGAGGTAGAGGAGCGAGAGGGGGATGAGACGGAAGACGGGAGTGAAGGCCGGAAGGAAGAGGAGGAGGATGGCAAAGCTGTGAACACTGCTGGTGCAAGCAATCTGCTGCTAGTGCGGGAGGACGTGCGGCGTAGAGAGGAGGAGCTGCAGCGAGAGGTGGCGCAGGTGAGGGCGTGGCTGGAGTCCGAGAGGCAGCAGCGCGTGGGACTGGAGCAGCAGCTGGCCGCGCTGGAAGGGCAACTGGAGAGGCTCAAAGAGGGGCGGAGGGAAGCGGTGGAGTCGAGTCAAAAGGAGAGGCAGCAGCGAGAGGGCGTTGAGAAGGCCGGGCGGGAGTTGAGGGAGAGAGTCGAGGAGGAGGTTGCAAGGAGGAGGGAGGTCGAGAAGGAAGTGAGGAGGCTGAAGGAGAGGCTTGAGGGGGAGGAGGAGGGGAGGAGGAGGGCGGAGGAGGAGAGAGAGGGAGCGAGGGAGAGAGTGGGTGTGCTGGAAGCAGAGCTGGTGGGAGTGAGGGAGAGTCTTGGGAGGGTTGAGGAGGAGAGGAGGGAGGCGGAGGAGGGGAGGGTGAGAGAGGGGGAGAGTTGGAAGAGAGTGAAGGAGGAGATAGATGGGGAGGTAGAGGAGGAGAGGAGGCGGAGAGGGGATGCCGAGGGAGAGGTGGTGAGGCTGAAGGAGCGAGAGGGGGCTCTGTTGACCGCGTTGACCGAGGAGACTGGGAAGGTGGGGGCGCTAGAAGTCGCTTTGGCGGAGCGAGAGGCGAGAATATCCTCGATAGAAGCCGAGATTCGTTTGAAGGAGGAGCGTGCTTGTGGCCTAGAAGCGAGGATTGGAGAGCTGGAGGGGAGGATTGATGACGCTAAGAATGAGTTTGAGAGGGAACGGAGGAGGATGGAAGCCGAGAGGAGGGAGGAGCAGGAGGAAAATGAGAGGGAGAGGGAGGAGGAGAGGAGGGTGAGGGAGGAGGAGGAGAGGAAGCGAGGTGCAGAGGCGGCAGAACGAGAGGCAGAACGAGAGGCAGATATGAAAGCGAAAGAGGAGGCGATCCAGAGGCTGGAAGCGTTGGTGAGTGAGCTACGAGACAAGGTGTGTGCGCTGGAGAAGGAGCGGGGAGAGAGAGAGGAAACGGTGAAGGGACTCGAGGAGGAGGTGAGAGAGCTGGGGGACATGGTGGCGGTGCTGCAGGCAGGCCTGGCCGCGAAACGAGCAGAGCTCGCAGCCACGGCTGCCCAGGGGGAGAGGGTGAGTGAGCTTGAAGAGCAAGTGAGGGAGGGGGAGGAACGAGTGAGGGAGGGGGAGAGAGAGGTGAAGAGGCTTGAGGGGCGGTTGAGAGAGGTGGAAGGGGAGATGGAGGAGCTGTCGGTGCAGGTGAGTGCGCTGAGAGGGGAGGTGGAGGCGAAGGAGGGGGAGAGAGAGGTGATTGAGAGGAGGGGGGCGAAGAGAGAGCGGAGGGTGAGGGAGTTGGAGGAGGAGGTTGGGAGGAGGGAGAAGAGGATTGGGGAGCTTGAGGGGGTGGTGAGGGAGAGGGAGAGGGATGTGGAGAGGAGGGAGAGGGAGGAGGAGGAGTTGGAGTGTGGGGTGGCGAAGGAGAGGGAGGAGCGTGAGGAAGTGGTTCGGAAGTTGGGGGTGGAGCGGCGTGCGCTGGAGGAGGAATGGAGGAGAGAGAGGGAGGAATTGGAGAGGGTAAAGGGGAGATTGGAGGAGGAAAATGAGGGCCTGGAGAGGGCAAGAGAGAAGCTGGTGCGGGAATGCGAGGAGCAAGGCGTTCGAGTTAGCGAGATGGAAGCAGAAAGAAGCGCATTGGAGGAGAAGTGGGCGAGGGAGAAGGAGGGTATACTGAAGAAAAAGGGAGAAGTGGAAAGGGAGAAGGAGGATTTGGAGAAGGAGAAAGAGCGACTGGAGAGGCGGATCGAGGGTTTGGAGAGGGAAAAGGAGAAGCTAGTGGAGGAGAGGAGCGCTCTGGTTAGCAAGGTGGAGGCAGAGAGAGTTGCGCTGGAGGAGAAATGGGAGAGGGAGAAGGAGGAATGGGAGAGGGAGAAGGAGGATAGAGACGTTATGGTTGGCGAGATGGAGGCAGAGAGGTGTGCGTTGGAGGAGGAATGGGCGCGGGAGAAGGAGGAGATGGTGAAGGAGAAAGTGGAACTGGAGAGGCGGATTGCGGGATTGCAGAGCGAGAAGGAGGAGTTGGAGAGGGAAATAGGGGAGAGGGACGCTCTGGTTCGGAAGACGGAAGCAGAAAGTGGGTTGTGTGGGGAGAAATGGTTAAGGGAGAGGGAGGGGTTGGAGAGGGAAATGGAGGAAAGAAACGCTCTGGTAGGCAAGGTGGAGGCAGAAAGAGGTGCGTTGCAGGAGAAATGGATAAGCGAGAAGGAGGGATTGGAGAGGGAAGTGGAGGAGAGGAGCTTACTGATCAGGACGATTGAAGCAGAAAGAGATGCGTGTGGGGAGATATGGGTAAGGGAGAGGGAGGCATTGGAGAGGGAATTAGAGGGTAGGACCGCACTGGCTAGGAAGATGGAAGCAGAAAGCGGTGCTTTGGGGGAGAAATGGGCGAGAGAGAAGGAGGGGTTGGAGGGCGAGATTAGACGAATGGAGGGCGAGAGGGAGGGATGGGGGAAGGAGAAGACGGAGAATGAGGGGAGGTTAGAAGCAAGCCTGACAGAGCTGAGGGAGGAGAAGGAGAAGAGACAGGCGGCCGAGGAACAGGTCCGGTCACTGGAAGACACGGTAGGCAAGGTGGAAGACGAGGGGAGAGAGGCGGTACGCAAGCTGGAGGAACGGGTTGGCTCACTGCAAGAAACGATCGGCAAGGTGGAAGAGGAGAGGAAGGAGATCTTCTGCAAGCTGGAGGAACGGGCCTGGTTACTGCAAGGCGAGATAGTCAAGGTGGAAGGGGAGAGGAAAGAGGCGGTGTGCAATCTAGAGGAAAGGGTCCGATCGCTGCAAGGCGAGATAGGCAAGGTGGAAGGGGAGAGGAAGGAAGCGTTAAGCAAGGTGGAGGAGGCAATGCGCGAGCTGGGTGAGGCGCGGAGCACGGTGGAGAGGGAAATGAGGGAGAAAGAGGCGAAGGGGAAGGAAATAGAGGAGACGGAGAGCGTTTTGCAGGCGAGAGTGAGGGAGTTGGAGGAGGAGCGGGGGAGTGTGAGGGTGCTGAGAGAGGAAGTGGAGGAGAGGGAGGTGGAGGTGAGAGGGTTGAAGGAGCGGTTGGGGGAGAGGGAGAGAGAGATGGAGGGAGTGAGACAGGAGCTAGAGGAGAAGAGGGGCTGGATTGAGAGGGTTGAGGGGGAGAGGGAGAGGGAGGTGGAGGGATTGAGAAGGGATTTAGAGGAGGCGAGGATGCTGGCTGAGAGGGTTGAGGGGGAGAGGGAGAGGGAGAGAGCGAGTGCGGATGTGGTGATTGGGGAGTTGAAGGGGCGAGTGGAGGAGGGAAGGGAGGAGGTGGAGCGAGGGAGGGTGGAGGTTGAGAGGGTTAGCAGGGAGTGCGAGGAGATGAGGGAGAGAGTGGGGTTGTTGGAGCGGGAGAGGGAGATAGGCCAGGAGGTGATGGTGGGGTGGAAGAAGGAGGTGGAGGAGAAGGATGGGGTGGTGGTGGCGCTGAGGGGCGAGCTGGAGGTGAAGGAAGGGGAGGTGGCGAGTTTGACAAGGGAGTTGAGGGAGAAGGGCGGGGATGTGGCGGCGTGGAAGGGAAAGCTGGAGGAGATAGAAGGGGTGGTGGTGGCGCTGAGGGGCGAATTGGAGGAAAAGGAAGGGACAGTTGCAGGGCTGATGGCTGATTTGAAGGAAAGGGAAGAGGCGATGGTGGGGTGGAAGAAGGAGCTGGAGGAGATAGAAGGGGTGGCGGTGGCGCTGAGGGGCGAATTGGAGGAAAAGGAAGGGCAGGTGGCGACTTTGACCAGGGATTTGAGGGAGAAGGGCGAGGATGTGGCGGCGTGGAAGGGAAAGCTGGAGGAGACAGAAGGGGTGGTGGTGGCGCTGAGGGGCGAATTGGAGGAGAAGGAAGGGCAGGTGGCGACTTTGACCAGGGATTTGAGGGAGAAGGGCGAGGATGTGGAGGCGTGGAAGGGAGAGCTGGAGGAGACAGAAGGGGTGGCGGTGGGGTTGAGAGGCGAGCTCAAGGCGAAGGAAGGCGTAGTTGTAGGCTTGGTGGCGGATTTGAAGGCGAGGGACGAGGCTCTGGAGGCGTTGAAGAGGAGTTTGGAGGAGACGGAAGGGGTGGTGGCGGGGCTGAGGGGCGAATTGACGTGCAATGAAGGGGAGGTGGCGAGTATGACACGAGAAATAAAGGAGAAGGACAAAGATGCAGAGGCATTGAGGGGAAAGGTGGAGGAGACGGAAGGGGTGGTGGTGCGGCTGAGGGGCGAACTGAAGGAGAGGGATGGCGAGGTGGCGAGGTTGACACAAGTTGCCAAGGAGAGGGACGAATTTGCGGAGGAAGTGGAGGGGAAGTTGGGGGAGGCGGAAGGGGTGGTGGTGGCGCTGAGGGGCGAACTGAAGGAGAAGGAAGGTGAGGTGGCGAGGTTGACAAGAGAATTGAAGGACAGGGATGAGAGTATTGAAGGATTGAAGGGGCAATTAGAAGGGACGGAAGGGACGGTAGTGGGATTGAGGGGCGAACTAGAAGAGCTGAAAAGGACTGCTTTGGAATTGAAGGGGACATTGGGGGAGAAGGAAGAGGCAGTAGAGGGGCTGCGAGGGAAGCTGCAGGAGTCGAAAGCGGTGGCGGATGGGTTGAAAGGAGAATTGGAGGAGTTGAATAAGGCCGCAGAGGGGTTGAAGGGAGCGTTAAGGGAGAAGGAAGAGGTTGTAGAGGGGCTGCGAGCGGCACTGGAGGAAAGGGCACTAGAATCAGAACAAAGGGAAGGGGTGATGAGGGCGCTAAGGGGCCAGGTGGCAGTGCTGCAGGCAAGCGTGGGAGAGAAGGAAGGGTATGCTCGGGAAAAAGAGGCGATGGTTCTGGTGAGGGATGCGAAGATACTGGTGCTGGAGTCTGCAGTTGAGGGTAAGGGAAGGCAGGTGTGCGCTTTACAGGTAGAGTTGGACGAGAGGGTGGGCCAAGTGAGAGAGCTAGAGGCAAGTGTGCAGGAGAAGGGGGAAGAGATATCCTCGTTACAAGCAGGGTTGGGAGAGAAAGAGCGGCAGGTGAAAGTGCTGCAGGGGCAAGTGGAGGAGACGGTGAATGAAGCTGCTGCGTTACAAGCAGGAGTTCAAGAGAGGGGTAGGCAAATATCCGCGTTACAAGCAGGGATGGAGGAGAAGGAGAAGCAGGTGGTGGGGCTGCAGGGTCAAGTGCAAGATAAGGAGCAGCGGATACTGGAGCTGCAGGCAGAGAGGGAGGTGTGGGAGGCGAGGGAGAGGATGGCTTTTGAGTCCACTCAAAAGGAGGTGTTGGCGCTGCAAGGTCAAGTGCAGGATAAGGAGCGGCGGATACTGGAGCTGCAGACAGAGAGGGGAGAATGGGAGGAGAGGTTGCAGAGGGAAAGGAGGGAGAAAGCGGCACTTGATAGCGAAGTGGTGGTGCTGCAGGCTCAAGTGCAAGATAGGGAGCGGCAGATACTGGAGCTGCAGGCAGAGAGGGAGGAGTGGGAGGCGAGGGAGAGGATGGCAGGGAGTGCGAAAGAGGCAGTTGAAAGGGAGCACAGGGAGCATGCTGCAAGGCTGCTGAGGGAAAAGGAGGCGCTGGAGGTAGCGGTGGAAGGGAAGGAAGATCTCGAAAGGCAGCACCGGGAAGTTGTTGCCAGGCTGCTGAGGGAAGAGGAGGCGCTGGTGAAAGCCGTGGAAGAGAAAGACGAGGTTGAAAGGGCGCACCAGGAGCATATTGCAAGGCTGCAGAGCGAAAAGGAAGCGCTGGTGAGAGCGGTGAGGGAGCTGGAGGTGCGAGTGAAAGAGCGGGGCGAGAAGGTGAAGGCCCTGGAAGAGGAGGTGAGAGGTATGAGGGAGAAGGTGGAGGCTGTGAATGAGGAGGTGAGAGTTTTGGGGGCGGCGGTGAAAGAGAGGGACGAGAAGGTGGAGGCGCTGGAAGGGGACTTGAGAGTTTCAAAGGAGAAGGTGAAAGCTGTGGATGAGGTGGTGAGAGAAAAGGAGGAGGAGGTGAAACAAAAGGTCGAGGAGCTGAGAGCCAAGGAGGAGGAGGTGAGGGGATGGAAGGAGAGAGAGGGGGTGGTGCGGTGTGAGGTGGAGGGCAAGGTGAGGGAGGTGGAGGGGCTGGTTTCTGAGGTGGAACGGCTGGTTGCTGAGGTGGAAAGACTCTTTGCTGAGCTGGAAAGGGAGCGCGAGCAGAAGCGTAGCATGATTGCTGAGCTGTCAAGTGTGATTAAAGTGAAGGAGGCTTTAGAGGGGGAGGTGGTTGGTTTGAAAAAGAGAGTGAGGGAGGTGGAAGGTGAGAGGGAGAGGTTAAGTGAGGAGTGTGAGAAATCAGGTGTGGAAATCTTGAGATTAAGTGGGGAGGTTTCTAATCTAAGGACAGAGAACGAAGGGCTTGTGAGACGGTGTGCGGAATCTAAGGAAGAAGGGAGGAAGCTAAGCGAGCGAGTGCAGGTGCTTACTGCTGAAGGGGAGGTGTTATCTGCGAGGGTTGGGGATGCGGAGAGCGAAGTGGAGGAGGAGAGGGGGAGGAGGGAGGAGGTGGAGAGAGAGAGGGAGAGTGTGAGGGGGGAGCTGGAGGAGGGGCTGAGGGGAGTGAGGGAGATGAGGGAGAGAGTGGGGGAGATGGAAGAGGAGGTGAGTGCGCTGCACATGCAGGTCGAGAAGGCGGAGGAGAGGAGAGAGGAGGCGGAGAGGAGGGGAGAGGAGACAGAGAGGAGGAGGGAGGAGGCTGTGAGGAGGGGAGAGGAGGCAGAAAGGAGCAAGGAGGAGGCGGAGAGGAGCAAGGAGGAGGCGGAGAGGAGCAAGGAGGAGGCGGAGAGGGAGAGGGACAATGCGGAGAGGGATATGGCGATCCTTCTGAGGCGCCTGAGAGAGGAGGAGAGGAGTGTGCGGGAGGCGGAGGAGGAGGCGGAGAGAGTGAGAAAGAGGCTGGAGGAGGTGGAGCGGGAGTGGGAGGAGAGTGAGGGGGCGAGGATGAGGCTGAGCGGGGAGGCTAGTAGTCTGGAAGAGAGAGTGAGGGAGAGAGAGGAGGAGGTGGAAGGGGTGAGGAGGAGAGGGATGAGTGGAGGAGGGCGGTTGCGGCAGTGAAACAGAGTCTGCTGAGGGAAGGAGCAGCGCTGGGCGTGAGCATGCAAGGGGCGCGCATGCAAGAGGTAGAGGGAGCGGAGGAGGAGGCAGAAAGAGAGAGAGAGGGGGTGCGGGTTGCGGTAGTGACGGACAAGGTGGAGGAGATTATGGCACTTGCCTGGGTAAATGCTGACGCGGCGAGGGCTGATGCTGACTCTGCACGCGCTGACGCTGATGCGGCACGGGCTGATGCTGATGTGGCGAACAGAAGGTTGCAGGAGGCTGTGGCAGAAGCTGAAGTTCTGAGGGCTGATGCTGACGCTGCAAAGGCTAATGCTGACGTGGCAAAGGGGATGCTGCAGGAGGCTGTAGCAGAAGCGGAAGCTTCGAGGGCTGATGCTGACGCTGCAAAGGCTAATGCTGACGTGGCGAATAGAATGATGCAGGAGGCTGTAGCAGAAGCTGAAGCTTCGAGGGCTGATGCTGATGTGGCAAACAGAAGGCTGCAGGAGGCTGTAGCAGAAGCTGAAGCTTCCAGGAAGGCGGTTGCAGCTCTGGAGGAGGAGGTGGAGAGAGTGAGGGAGCGAGTGAGGGAGATGGAGGAGGAGGTTGAGGGAGTGAGGGTGAGGCTTGGGGAGGCTGAGAAGGAGGTGAGGGAGAAGGGGAGGGAGGTAGAGAGGCAGAGGGAGGAGCTGGGAGTGAGGGAGAGGGAGGTAGAGGTGAGGGGCAAGGAGGTAGAGGAATTGTTGAAGCTTGTAGGGGAACTGAAGGTGCTTGTAGAGGGGAAAGAGGAGGCGGAGAGGGAGGCGAGGGAGAAGGAGAGGGAGGTGGAGAGGCAGAGGGAGGAGGTGGAAACGAGAGGCAGGGAGGTGGGGGAGTTAATGGAGCTTGTCGAGCAACTGAAGACGCTTGTAGAGGGGAAGGAGGAGGAGGGGAGGATGACACGGATGGTGCTGGAACGAGCAGTGGAAAACTTGAGAGGAGAGGTTGAACGGGCCACGAGAGAGGGGTTGGAAGCGGTGGAGAGGGTTAGGAGCGAGGGTAACGAGGAAGTCGAGAGGGTCAGGGAAGAGAATCGGGAGGAGATTGAGAAAACGAAGCAGCAGGCTTGGCAGCAGGTGTCGGAGGCTTGGGGAAGGGATCGGGAGGAGGTGGAAGTGGTCCGGCAGCAACTGGAGCAGGTTCGGGAACAGCTGCGGAGGGAGGTGGTAGCTAGACAGGTGGAGACTGAGCAGAGGGTTGTAGCAGAGGGAAGGCTGGGGGAGATGGTGGAGAGAGTGAGAGAGATGGAGAGAGAGAGGAGGGAGGTGGAGGGGAGGTTGAGAGAGAGAGGAGGGGGTGGGAGGAGAAGGAGAGGGGGATGAGGAGGGAGTGGGAGGAGAGGAGGAGTGGGATGGAAATGCTGGTGAGACAGATAGAGGAGATGTGGAGAGGGAGGGTGGAGGAGGGGGAGAGGGAGAGAGAGAGGGAGAGGGAGAGAGAGAGGGAGAGGGAGAGAGAGAGGGAGAGAGAGAGGGAGAGGAGGGAGGCGGAATGGGCTGAGGAGAAGGGAAGGATGGTTGGGGAAGTGGAGAAGGAAAGGGAGAGAGTGAGGGAAGAGGTGGAGAAGGAGCGTGAGAGAGTGAGGAACGAAGTGGAAAGGGAGAAAGAGAGGGTGATTGCGGAATTGGAGAGGGAAAGGGAGAGAGTGAGGGTGGAGGCAGAAGAGGAGAAAGAGGTGCTGATGAGAGAAGTGCAGAGGGAGAAAGAAAAAATGATGAGCCAAGTGGAGAGGGAGAAAGAGAGGTCGCGGAGAGAGCTGGAGGGCGAGCGAGAGAGATTGATGAGGGAGCTGCAGGAGGGAGAGAGGAGGGTGCGAGAGGCAGAGGAGGTGTTGAGGGAGGCAAGGAGGGATGCTGAGACGGCGAAAGAACCAGCAGAGTTGGAGGAGGGGGAGAAGGAAGGGGGGAATGAGGGGGAGGAGGATGGGGAGAAGGAGCGGGAGGAGGATGGGGAGAAGGAGCGGGAGGAGGAGGCTGTGGAGACGTCAGTTGGAGAGGTGGTGGAGGAAGGAGCGGCAGATGTGGAGAGGTTGGCGGGGAGTGAGAAGGAAAGGGCAGGTGAGGAGGAGTGGAGGGGGAGGGAGGAGGAGTGGAGGGGCAGGGAGGAGGAGTGGAGGGGCAGGGAGGAGGATTGGAGGGGAGGACGGTGGAGTGGATTGGGAGAATCAAGGTGCTGGGCGCTCAATGGAACAAGCTGGTGCAGCGGGAGAGGCGGGCGAGAGTGAAGGAGCAGAGGGCAAGGGAGGAGGAGAGGAAAGCAAGGGAGGAGGAGAGGAAGATAAGGGAGGAGGAGAGGAGCCAAGGGAGTGTGATCCGGAAGGAGCAAGTGAAGGAGCTTAGCTCACACATTGCCAGCATGAAATCCGTCTGTGGAAGGTTCCAGGTGGGTTCCCTCTATCTCACTCCTTGCCACTTCCTTCTTTTCTCTCGCTCCTCCTCCCCTTGGGTTTCCCCTTGGCGATCCGTTGTGCATCTCTTGTGTTGTGCACCCCTTAGCAGGAGTAGGAGCTTAGCTCACACAGTTCTTGTTTCAATTGTGCTTGTTCTTGTTTCAATTGTGCATGTCAACCATATCTGCACAAGTCAGGTGATGCTCGTCCCACCTGTTTACCACCCCCCTGGCGCAGGGGCCCTAGGGCCAAGCCACAGCAGGCGCAGGAAGTGGGGGGAGGGTCGAGTCGAGGGGGTGGTGCTGCAGGCGCAGATATGATCTTTCTTCCTCTCCCACCTTGTCCCCAATCCCCCGGCTCCCCTCGCTCTTCCCTCTCTCCTTGCAGAGTGCTTTGGAGGCCAAGGGTCGGGAGGTACAGGAGGTGAGGCGGCGGGTGGAGGGGGTGGTGCAGCAGGCGCAGCGGGAGAGGGCTGCACGGGACGCTGCTCTGAAGACGCTTATAACGGGGATGGAGAGGCGCGATTTCACGTGAGTGCACGGCTATTCTCCCCCCGCCTCCATTTGCCTTCTTCTTCCTGTTTTTTAGAATTCTCAAAAACAAAACTCTTCCTGCCCCTTCATTCTCTTCCTCTGGTTTTCCTGCCCTGCTCTTATTTTTCTGCCCTTCTTATCCCATCCCCCCGGTCCTGCACGATTTTGACCAACTGAGAGACCAGCTGACAAAACCCAAGAGTATCCCCCTCTCCTCCCCCCGCCTTCCACGCCCCAACCTTCATCTCCACTCGCCATAATCACTGGGCAGGGCTTGCGAGCCATATGCGTCTGTGGATGCTGCAGCAGCACAGGCCTTCGCTAGACACAACCCCACAAGCCAAGAATACCTCTCTTCCTCCCCCCCCACCCCCTCCATCCCTCCCCACCCCTCTCCACCTTTATCACTGGGCAGGGCTTGCGAGCCATATGCGTCTGTGGATGCTGCAGCAGCGCACGCCTTCGCCTGGCACAAGGCGCAGCTAGATAGATGCCCTAACACACCAACCACTTCCCTCTACCTCTCTCTCATGTGCTCTCTCCCTGCGTGAGGAGTCTATTTTTGAGGCGCCTCAAAAATAGACCCTCTACCTCTCTCTCATGTGCTCTCCCCCCCACTTCTCCCTCCTCTCAATTCGTCTCTGTGGATGGGCAGGGCATGTGCGCCATACGAGTCTGTGGATGCCGCAGCAGCACAGGCCTTTTCCAGGCACGAGTCGCAGCTCGATGCTTTGATCCTCCGTGCTGCTCGCATGGTGCATGGCGTGTCAGCGGCGCAAGCCTCAAAAGCGCCCACAGCCAATGCACCGCTGCCAGAATCATCACAGCAAGTAGCTGCAGTAGCAGTAGCAGCAGCAGCAGCGGCAGCAGCGGCAGCGGGCAGCGGCAGCGACAGGGGTGGCACAAACAGCAGCGCCTAACCCTGGCCCATCTGTCTCCTCCCCCCCGTTCTCTCCTCCAGCTTCCTCCCTCACTTCCTCCCTCTCCTCCTCCCTCTCCTCCTCCCTCTCTCACTCCCTCTCCGCCTGGTCCCTCGCCCACCCTCTCTCCGCCTCCGCCTCATCCCTCTCCGCCTCCTCTCCGTCTCTATACGTGGACCCGGGCTGTGCCAGTCAAGCAGCGTGCAGCGAGGCCAACACTGCAGGCAGCCAGGCAGGCGCAAGCAGGGGTTCAAAAGCAGCAGCAGAAGCAGCAGCAGAATCAGGGGGGAAAGGAGCAGGCGGGGCAGGTGTGGCTGAGACGACGCCCCAAGCAGGCAGTGCCGGAAGCAGCCCACAAGATAAGAGTCAGCGCGGCCAAGGCCAAGCCACTCAGACGAGTCGGACGAGTCAGACGAGTCTGGGCAAGCAAGGCAGTCCGAGCAAGCTGGCGGGGGGTGCGGCGAGCCCTGGAAGCAAGGGGGCTGTCGTTTTGCATGACGCCAACCTGTGAGTGCCAAGAAGCATTCGGATCACCTCTGCGGGCCTGGGTGAATTTTGAGTCGACTCAAATTACCCTTTCCACAGCCCGCCCGGGCACCTTCCACCTCCCTGTGCGATTTCTCCTCGGCTCACCTCTGTGGGCCTGCCTCTGCCACTGTCAGTGGTGCCTTCATTTCCCCTCCCCTTCCTCCCCCCCTTTCCCCTCCCCCTCGCCCCACTCCCCTTCCCCTCCCCCTTCCCCTCCCCCACCCTCCCTTCCCCCCCTCCCAGCCCTCCCTGTGTGACTTTTTTGCAGGAACCTCGGCGGGCCCACCGCTGCCGCTGTCGATGGTGGCTGATGGGGGGGTGGCGGTGAGACGGCAGCACAAGTGGGTGGTGGACGGCGCGTGGCTGGAGATGACGCGAAAGGTACGCACGCACGGGCTGCTTGCTATGGTTGGGGGGGAGCGGTGGAACGATATTGCACTTGCGATAGGTATTTTAGAAGTCTCAAACCCTATCACACCCTTGCTATGATTTGGGGGGGGGGGTCGGTGAACGACATTGCACTTGTCGCACACCCTCCTCGCCTTCGCCCACACTTATCTTTGGCCCCACATTTTCTTGTCGTGTGGCATGGCATGTGGTGCACTCATCGTTTCCTTTTTCCTTCCACCCTGTATCCACTATCACGTGCACCACATGCCACCCATGCCACCACATGCCATCACATGCCACCCATGCCACCACATGCCATCACATGCCACCCATGCCACCACATGCCATCACATGCCACCCATGCCACCACATGCCGCCCATGCCATCACATGCCGCCCATGTCATCAGGAGCATGAGGGGATGCGGCAGGCCATGGCAGAGCAGCAGCACCAGCTGGCAGCACTGGAGCAGGTCAGGGGGGTATGGGCTGTGGGCGGAGGGGGCTGTGGGCTGAGGGGCCTGCGGGCGGAGGGGGCTGCGGGCTGGGGCTGGGGGGTCTGTGGGTTGAGGGGGCTTGTGGCTTAGCTGGGTGGGACTGTGAAGGGCGGTGGCGTGCAGGGTGGGGCTGTGAAGGTTGTGGGCGTACTGGTGTGGGGGTTGTGAGAGGTATGGCAGTTGTGAAGGTGCGGGGGTTTTGTCATTGAATGAGCGTTGCTCTGTTTTTCTGTACCACTGTTCTTGACCTTGCGTTCTGCCCCATGCCATATGTTGATTGGTCAGTTGCGAGCTGAGAAGGTCTGGATGGAGGCTGCTTTGGCGCAGTTCATTGAGCTCCAGCGGAAGTAAGAGACGGAGAACACAAGTCTTATTTTCAAAAGTGAGCTGCTCTGGTCTGGAGCCCCCGACCAAGTGTTGAGTTCAGCCGACCCTCAAGTTCAATCAGATTTCTCCGCTTTTTTGTTATCTAACACGGGCAATTGCTTTCTTATGCCCCTTTTTCGACCATATATGCATATCAATAGTCACGGGTGAGAAGCTTCATTAATCACAGCCCTTGTTTTACATGAATCTTCTCCTTTTCCAGCTAGTGCAGAATATATGCAACTTTTATCTAATAGTGGTAACTATGTTGTTTGTTGCGTACCTCTCCAAAGGCTTACTGCTGAACCCTGCTATAATACTGGCGCCCAAGTGCAATGGTTGAGTCAGCGGAAGCCACATCAGAAAACTTACTTCTCACGTCATCCATTTATCTTGCTGTGCCATCCGACTCATCGTCACGTGTCCAAAGCAGGTCACTGCCCCCAATGCAGAACTAGACATCCAAATTTCGCTGATATCTGACGGGCAGCTGACAGCACATCCGTCATGGGGGCATTCTCTCCGGACCTGACCAGTGTGGGGCTATTTCTCGGGCCAACTTCCGTTCCTTTCGGAGACCAGATGGGGGACTGGGACTCAGCTCATGGACACACTGTTCAAAGTGAAGGGGTGTTTTCACTGTCCATTTGCGGTCAACGGTCTGTCAGATCTGACCCTAAACCATGGGTCTTCCTGGCGTGCTTAGCAATCTCCCCAGTTCGTCGGAACCCTCCGATGGCTGTATAGGTGTTATGACTGACGTATGGGTAAGAAACAAAGCACAACTCGAAACAAATACGCACGTATTATTAAAGTCTGCCCTCAGAAATAAGAAGATGGTCGCCTCCAGGTATGTTTCTTCCGATCGAACAAATGGGCACAGCACAAATTTTGACAGAACCACCAGCATCCCCGCGCCCTAGCGCTGCCCCGACGAGAAATATTTGGCGAAGGATGTGAGCTCGTCGCACCCCTGTTCGCGAGGCTCGACGTGGGCTGCTGTACAGCCAGCGAAGAAGTCGATAGCATTGTAGTTACCGCTGTTTCCTATCGCGTACATCATACACCATGCTGCATGGCTCGATTTATCTGTCCCAACCAAAGAACGCAATTCATCCCTGCAGGCCAAGAAAATGTGCAAGCTGCCGCATGCGGCGCGTACATTGCCAGGCAGCCTGCTCACGAATCTCTGTTTCTTGGTGCCTTGTCTCCCTTTATTTGCAGCGAACCATTCTTTCTGCTCCGTTTTCGACTCGGCTGCTTGCTTTGCGACTTGGCCTTGGCCTAGATTTTTTCCCGCTTATTGTGAGACTGGGCACTTTTAACTGCTGCAGGCGAGATAGCTGAATAGTTTTTAGCCTTTTAGGTTCGGATTAGAGCCCAACTTTTTAATCTGACTCGCGTCTCGCATGTTTTGACGTCGGAACATATTCCGCTGCTATGGCTCGCGTACTGAAGCTGTCTGAAGTGAAGGAGCTTGTCCTCGGTAAGAGGACGCTCGTTACCGTGGATGCGAACGATTCGTTAACAACGGCGCTGAAGCTGTTCCAGGAGCACCACGTGACGTCGATGCCCGTGCGCAACCGCCGCCTCTCTGCACCGCACCAAACCGAGACGCCATCGCTGAAAAAGCCTCAGGCGCTGCAGTCCATCATGGTGCATCCGTCGCCCATGCGATTCGTCGGCATGGTGAGTCTTCGCCGCTTGTCGCACTTGCGAATCGTCGGCATGGTGAGCCGTCGCTTTGTCGCCCGTGCGATTCCGTGCTGGGAAAGATGGGCTTCATCCCTGCGTATGCCCGTTCTTATAACGCTCCCGTACGCCTTTTTTTTCTTTTTATTTTTTGGGTAAATTATTTTCAACACGCCCCTGTTCTTCCCCTCCTCCCGTGTCTTCGCGTCTCAGCTCTCGGTGGTGGACGTGGCGATATTCATGGCGGAGTGGGATGGTAACAAGGACAAGCGTGGCGACGACGACGAAGTGGTGGCGAAGACCCTATGCGACGTGAAGGTGGCTGACGTCATGGGAAAATCCGAAGAGACACGTCAGATGGTCGTCGTGGACCCCCACGCCAGGTGGGCGGGACGGAGGGGGGAAGGGGAAAACGGAGGGAGGGGGGGGAGGGAGGAGGGGGAAATAGGGAGGGAGAGGGGAAGAGTGAGGGAGGAGGGAAGGAGAAAGTAGAGGGGCGACGGGTAGATGCAGAATGGGAGAGAGCTTTTTTTTCCTGGTGTGACAAGCGGAGAAAGTTGAGGAACGGTGCAGGGAACCGTGAGAGGGTTTGGGTGCGATGATGAAAACAGTTGCCCGCTGCAAGGCATTAAGCGTTAGGGTGGGCTGCAGCGAAGAGGAAAAATCGACTCATTACACACCGTGAGAGGGTTTGGGCGCGATGATGAAAACAGTTGCCCACTGCAAGGATGATGAAACAAAAACCCTTTCCTCCCCCCGCCCCCTTCTCCCCTCTCCCTCTTCCCCTCCAGTGTGTGGCAAGCCATGCTGCTGCTAGGCGCGGGCGGCTTCCACCGCGGGCTGGTCCCCAACATCGGGCCGGGCGAGCACGAGCTGCACCCCGTCATCGAACCGCCGGCCAAACCCACGGAAGCACCCACCAAGGGCGAGGGGAATGCGGGGAGCGAGGAGGAGAAGGAGGAGGAGGGAGCGGCGCAGCCGGCGCCCCCGATGCCGCTGGCGGTGCACAGCGAGGTGATGGGCGGCGTGGTGGGCGAGGAGTACCGCGTGCTCTCGCAGATGGACGTCGCCACGTTCCTGCTGTCGCATGAGGGGCTCATGGGGCTGGCGCTGGCTAAGAGGTACGTGCTGGATCACTCGCACCTACCAGGGCAGCCGTGGATGCAGGGATGGAGGAGGAAGCTGCAGCGGTGCACGGCGGGGTGTGACTGGAAGCGTGGTGGGCGAGGAGGAGTACCGCGTGCTCTCGCAGATGGACGTCGCCACCTTCCTGCTGTCCCACGAGGGGCTCATGGGGCTGGCCCTTGCTAAGAGGTGAGTGGTAGGGGTGGGTGGGTTCCGGTGTGACTGGAAGCGTGGTGGGCGAGGAGGAGTACCGCGCGCTCTCGCAGATGGACGTCGCGACCTTCCTGCTGTCGCATGAGGGGCTCATGGGGCTGGCTCTGGCTAAGAGGTGCGTGGGAAGGGGAACATGGAAGGCCATGTCAGTTGGGTGGGGTGTGGGGGGCGAGGGTGAGGAGTACTGCGCGCTCTCGCAAATGGAGGGGCGGGACCTTTTTGCTGTTGCACGAAGGATTGATGGGGCTGGCGCTGGCTGGCTAAGAGGTGCTTTAGAAGGGGAAATGGGGAAGCAGAACGACTTGAGAGTGGACCATCTGGGTCTCGTGTGGCTGCTGCTGGTGACATTTTGGAGTGTGCTGATGATGTTTGAGTTCGTTTATGGCTCTGTCCCCCTTCCCCCTTCCCTCTTCCCTCTTCCCTCTTCCCTCTTCCCTCTTCTATCTTCTCCTCTCCCTTGCACTCCCAGGGTGGACGACTTGGGTCTGGTGTGGCCGCTGGTGGTGACCATAACGCCGGCAGACACTCTGCTGCACGCCTTCAGGCTCTTCAGGCGCCACCAGGTGATTCGTCAGGCGCCCCTAGGTGATTGGTCAGGCGCCACCAGGTGATTTGTCAGGCGCCACCAGGTGATTCGTCAGGAGCCACCAGGTGATTCGTCAGGCGCCACCAGGTGATTCGTCAGGCGCCACCAGGTGATTCGTCAGGCGCCACCAGGTGATTCGTCAGGCGCCACCAGGTGATTCGTCAGGCGCCACCAGGTGATTCGTCAGGCGCCACCAGGTGATTTGTCAGGCGCCACCAGGTGATTTGTCAGGCGCCACCAGGTTCGTTCTAGCAGCTTCACATGCTTTTTTTTATTCTTTATTTCTTGCTGTTGCCATGGGATTTTGTACGCCGTTTCGACATCTTTCTTCCCTCCCAGGTGGCAGCGCTACCAGTGGCGGCAGCGCGCCTGTCAGAGTCCCGCTGCGTCTTCCACGCGTGCGGGGAGGTGCTCACCAGCATTCTCTCTGCTCCCTGCTGCCTTGCGAAACACATGCCCCCCCCCACAGGTAACCGCGCTTCCCGTGGTGGCAGCCCGCCTGTCGGAGCCGCACTCCGCCTTCCACGCGTGCGGGGAGACGCTCATCGACACCCTCTCCGCCACCGACGTGCGCTGCATCCACCTGCTGGAGGTGCGGGCGGAGAAGAAGGAGACAACTAAGCAGGAGAAGGGGAAGAAGGGGAAGGAGAGGAAGCAGAGGAAGGAGCACGGGAAGGGTCACGGGAAGGATCACGAGAAGGAGCAAGGGGAGGGGCATGGGACGAAGACGGCGGTGCGGGTGGGGGAGGAGGAGTTTGAGGACCTGGGGGCGATCACGGTGGGGCAGTTCCTGGCTGCGCTGAGGATGGGGAGGGACCGCCACCTCGTCACTTGCACCAAGTAAGGGATAATCGGGTGTTGGATCAGGTGTTACATCAGGTGTTACATCAGGTGTTACATCAGGTGTTACATCAGGTGTTGCATCAGGTGTTGCATCAGGTGTTACATCAGGTGTTGCATCAGGTGTTGCATCAGGTGTTGCATCAGGTGTTACATCAGGTGTTGCATCAGGTGTTGCATCAGGTGTTACATCAGGTGTTGCATCAGGTGTTGCATCAGGTGTTACATCAGGTGTTACATCAGGTGTTGCATCAGGTGTTGCATCAGGTTTTATCTGCTACAGGTGAGAACATGGGAGGGCAGGTGCTGCCTGCACCAGGAGGAGTTTGAGTGCGTGGGGGCGACCACTGCGGGGCAGTTCCTGGCTGCTCTGGTGTTGTGGAGGGACTGCCACCTCATCACTTGCGCCAGGTGAGAACTTGACGGGTGTTACCTGCACCAGGTGTTATCTGCATCAGGTTTTATCTGCACCAGGTGTTTCTTGCAACAGGTGTTATCTGTACCAGGTTACCTGCACCAGGTGCTACCTGCGCCAGGCGCTACCTGCGCCAGGTGTTGCCTGCACCAGGTGTTGCCTGCACCAGGTGTTACCTGCACCAGGTGTTTTCCGCGCAATGAGTTCGAAGACCTTGGGCGCGGTCACAGCGGGGCAGCTCTGGAGTGCTATGAGTGCAAGAAGAATTTTGAGTTGACTCAAAATACACAAGAATTACCAGTGGTGACCAATCCGCCACCCAAGTGTGCGCCTGGTGACGATCAGCTGTCCTGGCGAGGCGCTCGTCGCGTGTGCGTGGTGGCGATGGGTTATTCACCGACTGTTATGCTGACTTCCTAGCATCTGGAACGCCGAGTCTGAGGCGCGCATTGCACCGTATGGCGAGGGAGAGGGCGCTACGCGTGTGGGTGATGGGCCCGTTAACTGACTACTTTGCATTCGTTCGTTCCTTGTGCGTTCTGGCGGGAGGGGGAGAGGGTGCACCGCGTGTGGGTGGTGGATTATTTACTCTGGTATCCTCCTCGTTCCTTCCCCTGCTCTCTCAGGAGCACGAGTCTCAGGCGTGTGCTGCACCGCATGGTGCGGGAGAGGGTGCACCGTGTGTGGGTGGTGGACCAGCAGGAGCAGCCCTCGCCCATGCCCTCCCCGCGCGTACCCCCTATAAGCATCTTCAAGGACAAGCTAGAGGACCAGGGCGCTGGTGGTAACGGCAAGCCAAAGCCGCCCGCTGCTACAGTGCTGCCAGCTATAGAAGAGGACAAGCCAGCTGCAGCCGAAGGAGAGGGAGGCGAGGGGGGAGAGGGGGGAGCGAGGTCTGCTGCTGCTGCTCTCTTGCAGTGTGTCCCTGCATCAAGTTCCGGAGGAGGGAGCGTGGAAATGCACTTGCAGGGAGTGGTGAGCCTCACTGACATCCTGCGCATAGTGCGTGTGCTGCCCATTGCCAGTCTCTCCCCCTCTGACCTTGGCCCTCTGGCGAAAGACTTGGAGGTCCAGGAGGGAGGGGAGACGGGCGAAGAGGAGTTGGAGGGGTGGGAGTTGGGCTCCGGGGAGTTCCTCACTCCTGATTGGAGCATTGCGCCCGGGTCGCTGCTTGACTGGTGGCCGAAAATGAGCAAGTCTTCCTCGGTTGGCGCGTAGACAAGATGGGACTCATAACTCGTTGGAGTGAGCTATGGCGAGAAGGGAAAGGAGATGAGGGCACAACGAGTGGCGTGGGAAGGTTGTGGTTTGTTTTTAGCGCAGCTGGGTGCTGCTGGATGCTGCTTCTCATCTCGTTTCTTCTGGTTTGCGTATGTACAGGTGCTTGGTGAATGGGTGGATCCTTCTTTTGTTGCTTTGCGATTGATTGAGCCAGTAGGTTTTGTTGCTGCTGTGTAGGGTCTCTTCTGTTTGTAGATGCAAACGCGCTTGTTTTGTGAATTTCATCAATGCTAGTGTGTCATATTTGTACATTCAAAACACATGCTTAGCTTTGTATAGCTGTTCTCAAAACACGCATTGTTAGGTTGTCACCAAGTCGTTTCCGTTATCATTACCACCTTATAAAGGAATCGATCCCTCTGCTTTTGACGGGTCGGTGTGCAGAAGCAATTCCCTTGGCCTTGCAGCAGCGCTTCTTCGGTCACGCTGTGCCATTCAGCTGGGATTCCCTTCCCGCTGAGGATGTTGGAAATTGGAATTTGAGCTTCCCTTCGCAATACAGTATTCACGAATCTCACAATGCGTCTGAGGCTAAGTCCCCATAACTTTTTCTGGCGTCGAAGCGTGGCGATCGGAAAAACTGTGCTTACCGGCCTGTCGTCATAAGCTTCTCCGTCTGTAAACATTCTGACATCTACTTGGCGGCCATTTCGGGTTGCTACTGATCCCAGTTCCCGGCTCTCCGAGGCTTTTTCTCCTGCTCGTAAAACTCCTGGCATCCGCGTTATAGCCGTGCCACGCTGCAACTGTTAATACGCCTCCAGCCCGCTGCTCCGCGCATCCGCGCATCCGCGCAAGCCCGTCTCCGCAATGGCTGGCCTGCACTGGCGGAAGAAGGGCGGCGGAAAGGACAGCGGCGGGGAGTCGAGCGCGCGGAAGCAGGTGGTGCTGACGGCGGCGCAACTGGCGGAGCTGGAGAGCTACATCCAAGACATGGAGGCGAAATGCGCGCAGTTCCAGGTGAGTGAAGCCGGAGTGCGCGCAGTTCCAGGTGAGTTTTCTTGGGCTCAGTAAACAATCAGCAGTGTGGGGCTGGAGAGAGATGTCCAGGACATGGAGCCGAAATGCACGCGGTTCCAGATGAGTCATTTCAGGTGAGTCGTTTTCAGGTGGGTCGTTTTCAGGTGAGCCGTTTTCAGGTGGGTCGTTTTCAGGTGAGTCGTTTTCAGGTGGGTCGTTTTCACGTGAGTCGTTTTCAGGTGGGTCGTTTCAGGTGAGTCGTTTTCAGGTGGGTCGTTTTCAGGTGGGTCGTTTTCAGGTGAGTCGTTTTCAGGTGAGTCGTTTTCAGGTGAGTCGCTTTCAGGTGGGTCGCTTTCAGGTGGGTCGTTTTCAGGTGAGTCATGCGCGCGGTTCAAGTCAAGGCTAGTCTCAGTTTCCAAGTGCTGTCATTTCCCTTCCCCCCCCCCCCTCCCCCTCTCCCCCACACGCCTCTCCCCAGGCAGTGGTGGCGGCGAAGGCAGCAGCAGAGGCAGACATGCGGGGGCAGCTGGAGGGGCTGGCAGCGGGGGTGGAGGGGGAGAGGGCCACGCGGGAGTCGGCGCTGGACGCTCTGCTGGCGGACTTCGAGAGTAGAGTGTGCGTGTGTTGGGGGGGGTGGGGAACATGATTGCATGTCGTGTGGGGGACATGGTGCACGGTGTAGCCTTTACCACATAAGTGGGACACAATTTCGCCTGGAAGCGCTGGATGCTCTGCTGACGGACTTCGAGAGTAGAGTGTGAGTGTGTGAGGGGGGGGGGGAAATGGTTTCGCCTGTACATATGAGAGGGACCCCTGTTTTGAGAGCCGAGAGTGAGTGTGGGGGGGGGGGCGATGTGCTTGTATAGTGTGGCGGAATGACGTCCTGGGCGCATTGCACCTCATGCTGTCCAATGGTCTCCATCTCGATAGTGCCTTTCGACCAACCTTCAAAGCATTCCCCGTCCAAACTAGACTCATATCTGCCCTTTTGAGGCGCCTCAAAAGCATTCCCCTTCCAAACTAGACTCATATCTGCCCGCTTCTATCCATTCCCATCCCCATTCCCATCCCCATTCCCATTCCCATCCCCATTCCCATCCCCATTCCCATTCCCATTCCCATTCCCATCCCCATTCCCATTCCCATTCCCATTCCCATTCCCATCCCCATTCCCATTCCCACTCCCATTCCCATTCCCATTCGCATTCCCATTCGCATTCCCAATCCCAATCCCAATCCCAATCCCAATCCCATTCCCAATCCCAATCCCATTCCCAATCCCAATCCCAATCCCATTCCCAATCCCATTCCCAATCCCATTCCCAATCCCATTCCCAATCCCAATCCCAATCCCAATCCCATTCCCAATCCCAATCCCAATCCCATTCCCAATCCCATTCCCAATCCCATTCCCAATCCCATTCCCAATCCCATTCCCAATCCCATTCCCAATCCCATTCCCAATCCCATTCCCAATCCCATTCCCAATCCCATTCCCAATCCCATTCCCATTCCCATTCCCAATCCCAATCCCATTCCCAATCCCATTCCCAATCCCATTCCCAATCCCATTCCCAATCCCATTCCCAATCCCATTCCCAATCCCATTCCCAATCCCATTCCCAATCCCATTCCCAATCCCATTCCCAATCCCAATCCCAATCCCATTCCCAATCCCATTCCCAATCCCAATCCCATTCCCAATCCCATTCCCAATCCCATTCCCAATCCCATTCCCAATCCCATTCCCAATCCCATTCCCAATCCCATTCCCAATCCCATTCCCAATCCCATTCCCAATCCCATTCCCAATCCCATTCCCAATCCCATTCCCATTCCCATTCCCAATCCCAATCCCATTCCCAATCCCATTCCCAATCCCAATCCCAATCCCATTCCCAATCCCAATCCCAATCCCATTCCCAATCCCATTCCCAATCCCAATCCCATTCCCAATCCCAATCCCAATCCCATTCCCAATCCCAATCCCAATCCCATTCCCAATCCCATTCCCAATCCCATTCCCAATCCCATTCCCATTCCCATTCCCAATCCCAATCCCATTCCCAATCCCATTCCCAATCCCAATCCCAATCCCATTCCCAATCCCAATCCCAATCCCATTCCCAATCCCATTCCCAATCCCAATCCCATTCCCAATCCCAATCCCAATCCCATTCCCAATCCCAATCCCAATCCCATTCCCAATCCCATTCCCAATCCCAATCCCAATCCCATTCCCAATCCCATTCCCAATCCCAATCCCATTCCCAATCCCATTCCCAATCCCATTCCCAATCCCATTCCCAATCCCATTCCCAATCCCATGCCATGTCATGACTGTTAACATTCCGCGTCCACTACCACTCTTTTGCCCTTCGCATCAGGTCCCTTCGCATCACATCCCTGCACACCACATCCCTTCGCACCACATCCCTTCGCATCACATCCCTTCGCATCACGTCCCTTCGCATCACGTCCCTTCGCATCACATCCCTTCTCATCACATCCCTTCGCATCACATCCCTTCGCACCACATCCCTTCGCATCACATCCCTTCGCATCACATCCTTTCGCATCACATCCTTTCGCATCACATCCCTTCGCATCACATCCCGTCCCTCTCCCCTTTCGCCCCCTCCACCCAATTACAGGTCTGCCCGCCTCCCCTCCTCCGCCCCCTCTCCCCTCTTCACCAACACCTCCTCCGCTGCAGCTGCTCCCACTTTTGAGGCCCCTAAAACAATTCCTTCCCTCTCATCCCTTTGCTCCCTCTACCGAACTGCAGGTCTGCTCGCCTCCCCGCACCCTCGTCTGGTCCCTCTCCCCTCCCCACCATCACCTCCTCTGCTGCCGCTGCTCCCACCGAGCCAGACTCCATCTCCCCTCCCTCCGCACTCGCTCCTGCTTCTCGCGCCCCTGCAGTCCGTCCCCCCTCGCTCCCTACCCCCTCTCTCCCCTCCTCTGTCTCCTCATCTCTCACCACCTATATCAGCAGCAGTAGTGAGATAGAGGCCTTGGCTCAGCGAGCTAGAGCTGCTGCCCTTGCTGCTGCTGCCGCCGCTGCTGGGAGAGGTGCTGCTGCTGCTGGCGCTGGTGGTGGCTATATCGGTGGGGAGTTTCCAGGAGTGGCAGCAGCAGCAGGAGGCGTGGCGGCGTATCCCGGAGGTCCACACAGTGCCCTGTAAGTGACAAGGTGACTTTGGAGTCGACTCAAAAGTCGTATCCTGGAGGGCCACACGGTGCCCTGTAAGTGACAAGGTGACTTTGGAGTCGACTCAAAAGTCGTATCCTGGAGGGCCACACGGTGCCCTGTAAGTGACAAGGTGACTTTGGAGTCGACTCAAAAGTCGAATCCTGGAGGGCCACACAGTGCCCTGTGAGTGAAAATCCGCGTGATAGGAGTCTAGTTTTGAGGCGCCCCAAAACTATTTTTGTTTTGAGGCGCCTCAAAACTTTGGAGTCGACTCAAAAGTCGTATCCTGGAGGACCACATGATACCCTGTGAGTGAAAATTGTTGCTAAGACTAGCATTACACCTCCAAATAGCCGGTTTTTTAGCTGCTTGTTTCTTTTGTCGCCTTTTTACGCGCCTCGAAATAGTTCCCTGTTGGTTATTCATGTTTCATTTCCTGTTTTTGCACTTCGTCCATTCCCTACCGCTCGCGTTTTTGCCATCGCTCTTCTTTTTCCACTCCCTGCCCCAGCACTCCCACGTGAGGAGTCTATTTTTGAGGCGCCTCAAAAATATTTTCCACTCCCTGTCCCATTACCCTCACCCGCTCAAGTAGTTTAGTTTTGAGACGTGGTGACTTTTGAGTCGACTCAAAAGTCCACTCAAAGGTTTTGAGACGTCTCAAAAGTAAACTACTCAACCACTGCTATCGCTCTTCTTTTTCCGCTCCCCGTCCCAGCACCCTCGCCCGCTCCACAGGTGCAGGAGTATGGTCAGTGAGGCAACCGCAAGCCGCAGGTGATGGAACCTGGGGTTGAGAGACCTCACAGCGAAACCCCTTTTTCTCCCCCCCTCCCCTCCCCTCCCCTCCCCTCCCCTCCCCTCCCCTCCCCTCCCCTTCCCTCCTTCCCCTCCTTCCCAGCATCCCCACACGCTCCACAGGCGCAGGAGCATGGTCAGTGGGGCAAGGGGGGGGGGCGGGGGGGGCAGAGAGGAGCGATGGCGGGTGGTGGAATCTAGGGTTAGAGGTCTTACAACCAAACCCGCCCATTCTCCCCTTCCCCCCTATTTCCTCCGTTATTATTTCCCCCCACCTTCTCCCCTTCCCGCTCTTCCTCCCAGCATCCCCGCCAGCTCAACAGGCGCAGGGAGCATGGTGAGTGGGGCGAGCGGGGGGGGCAGGGAGGAGTGACCGAGTCTGGTGGAACCGAGGCTAGAAATCTAGCAACCAAACCCTTCATCCCCACCCCCCACCTGCTCCCCTTTCCCCTTCCCAGCATCCCCACCAGCTCAACAGGCGCAGGGAGCATGATGAGTGGGGCGAGCGGGGGGGCAGAGAGGGGTGATGGCGGATGGTGGAACCTGGGGCTGGGGCTCAGGTGGAATGGCGGCAGGGTGCAGCGCAGGCAGCGGTTTATGGTGGATACGGCGTGGTTGGAGGGGATAAGACGGGTGAGTGGGGTATGGTCAGTGGGGCAAGCAGGGGGCGTCAGAGAGGATCGATGGCAGGTGGGGGTGGGGCCTGGGCCTGGGCCTGGGCCTGGGGCTGGGGCTGGGGCTGGGGCTCAGGTGGAACGGCGGCAGGGTGCAGCGCAGGCAGAGATTCATGGTGGATAATGGGATCAGTGCGTGGCTGGAGGGGATCAGACGGGTGAGTTGGTGGGTATAAAACATTGCGCGCTTTATGCTCAAGGGTCTTGTGCGGCACCTCAAAGGGTGGGCTGGGGCCAGGGTGCAGCGCAGGCAGCGATTTGTGGTGGATATTGCGCGGCTGGAAGGGAGTAAGTGGGTGGGGGGTGCGGTTGGAGGGGATGGGTTGGTTTAGTGGGGGATGAAGGGCCATGCCAGATGGTCTAAGCACTTCGTAGGCACCTCAAAGGGTGGAGTGGGGGTCGGGTGCCAAGGAGACAGTGGTTCGCCCTTGAACCACTGTGGATAGTGCGTGGCTGGAGGGGATCAGGCGGGTGAGTGGGGCGATGACAATCTTGATACACTTGGTTCGAGCTGACCCCTTGACCTCCCTACCTCGCCCGTTTGGCTGTGCCAAGGGCCGACTGGAGCCCCTTCCTCTCTTCATGCTTCCCTGCAATATCGCTGCCTCTCCTTAGTCTACCCGTTGACTTTTGAGTTGTCTCAACTTTTGAGTCGACTCAAAAGCCAGCTGGATCCCCTTCCTCTCTTCGTGCTTCCCTGTGATGTCGCTGCCTCTCCTTAGTCTACTCGGTTTGTTTCTCCGCCTCGTCTCCATCCCCCTCCCCCCCTCCCCATCCCTCACTCTCTCTCTCCCCGTTTCCCCCTCCTAACATGGGGAAACGGGGAGAGAGATGGTGAGGGAACTGCAGCGGCAGCTTGCAGAGGAGCAGCACAAGAACCTTCCTCCGTCCCTTTATATCTCTCTCCATCTCTCTCCATCTCTCTCCATCCCTCCCTCCACCCCTCTCCGTTCCCCCCCTCCCCAGGACTCCATGGAGCTGCAGCGGCTGCTGGCAGAAGAGCAGCACAAGATCCTTCTCCTCCTTCCCTTCACATCTCTCTCCACCGCGCTTCACCCCTCTACATCCCTCTCAAACCCCCTCCCCCCCCCCCCCATCAGGACTACATGGAGCTGCAGCGGCAGCTGGCAGAGGAGCAGCACAAGACACTGGTGGTGCAGCAGGTGAGAGCAGAAGCTTTGGCTTGCACAAGAACCCGCCAGCAATGCCATTTGTGCGTCTTTTGCTGACCTTGCGGGCGGGAGTCGACTTTGTTGACTTGTGTTGACTTGTGTTGACTTGTGTTGACTCGTGTTGACTCATGCTACAGCTGAGGGCGGAGAAGGCATGGATGGAAGCGGCTCTGGTGAGATTCCTGGAGATGAAGCGGCAGCACGAGGCGGAGGTGGCTCAACTTATGGCCAAGGTGCGTGGCTCAGGACAAAGTGCGTGGCTCAGGGCAAGGTGTATGGCTCAAAGCAAGGTGCGTAGCTCAAAGCAAGGTGCGTAGCTCACAGCAAGGTGCGTAGCTCACAGCAAGGTGCGTAGCTCACAGCAAGGTGCGTAGCTCACAGCAAGGTGCATAGCTCAAAGCAAGGTACGTAGCTCAAAGCAAGGTGCGTAGCTCAAAACAAGTTGCGTAGCTCACAGCACGGTGCGTAGCTTACAGCAAGGTGGGTAGCTCAGGGGAAGGGTGAGCATTCTGACTGGCTGAGCGCATTGCCAAGACATTCATTCTGTTTCGCTCACGCAGTGAGGCGGAGCGAAACATTCTGGAATGGCCAAATCTGCACGGAGATGAAGAGCTGAGAGCTCATAAAAGCATTATTTGTGCGGAATGAAGGCGCTGCTGACCCTGTTAAGCCTCCATGGCCAATGCAAGTCAAGAACATCCCAGCATTGGGCATGATGTCATGTGACCCACTGCACATCACATCACCAGCATCGATCACAACCCTCACAGCCTCACAACAGGACGTGACCTCTTTCGTTTTTTCCCATGCAGGTGGCTCGGCTGGAGCAGGCAGTTGCAGCGTCCAGGCATCCTGCAGAGGCACACAAGACAACCTAGCTTACCCTTTGTTGCTAAGAGCGGCTGCTGTTGCTGTTCTTGTTGCTGCTGGCCCCCCTGATTCTGTTGCTGCTGCAGGTGGCTCGGCTGGAGCAGGCAGTTGCAGCGTCCAGGCATCCTGCAGATGGTGCAGGGAAGGCAACCTAACTTGGGTGTGGGCTCCCTCCCAAGGCTTAGGGTTCATGTGCTGGTGCGCCTTTGCAAGTGGATACAAGGGACTGCGTCTCACAGTTGCAGCGTCCAGATATCTTGCACCCGCGGGCTAGGCAACCTAACCAACCCTGCGTCGACTCAAGTGCGTGCTGCTCCTCCTTCATGCTGGCTTGATGCCTTAGTGATCGACGGGTCCGTCGCTTTTCCCACCCAAGTGGCTCAGCTAGAGCACAGCTCGGCTCAACTCGCCATTTTCTTAATGGCATTCAGAATGAGCTGAATGCCATCCTGCATTCCGGGGCTCCTCTGAGCCCAAATTGCAGTGCTGTTGAGCTGAGTCCTCCAACCAAGGCACATCTGCATCCCCTTTGACGAAGTATAGTATCTGCTCAGCGTGATACAATGTGTTGGCTTATTGTGCATAAATAAGGAGCAAGGTTGCCCATGAAACATAGAGAATCTGCTGTACAACAAAGAGGGGGGGGGGGAGGGGGAAGGGGGGGAGGGGGCCCAGTCTTCACGCTGAAACACACACGTTGCTGGGGGGCTCTGGGCAACTCTAGGAAGTGTATTCACTTGGTCACAAATTTAGATTTTGGTAGTGGATGTGTTGCTCCTTAATGGAAATAGCATAGAGAGATCCTTTCCGGTGAGTTATGTTTGAAGCGAAGTGCACTAGAAACATCTTTGTATCGAGGATAATTCCCTGGCTTCCTGCCCAGCCTCGCTTTCCCGGATCTACAGACCAGCGCAGACTAGTCAGTCCGCCAACGACAGCTTCCCGAACCTCGTCTAACAGCGCAACGCGACGAGGCTCAGGAAAAGCGTGGAAGGTTACAGTGAGGCACATACTTGTCGGTTCGGTAGCCTCGCCACGCCAGCGCTTCCTTACAGCAGCGAGCTTGAGCTGGACAATGAGGTGCGTAACTTTCGGCCTTGACGATGACACAACAGCGAGTTACCACGTGTCGTCAGAATCCGTCGCAACAGTAAATAGCAATGCTGTAGGCCTTCCGCGTCGATGGCTGTCAGCGAAGCACGCTGATTGGTGACCGACCAAACGGGAAACTACCAGGAACCTTGAACCCAGCCGCTCAAGCGCATTCGCGAATCGCTCGCGAGTCGCACTCGATAGGGGGCACCGCTTGTCTGTTGTGCCGCCACTTTGGGCGTGTTTTGCGCGTATATGTTTCCGGCTCATTACCGTACCCAACCGTAGCAGATTGTTATGAGAGCCTTTTGAAAGAGCATCTCACCGAACCGCAATCAAACCTACGCGCGGGACACGCCCTTATCACCTTCACCCTCCCTTCGCTTTTTCCCTGCCTCGCTTTCGCCCTCTCCCCTTCCCCCATCGCCAAAGATACGTGACTCTCACCCACCGCCACCGCCAGCCAACCCTTCCTCCTCGTCCTCCTCTTATCATACATATGTTCTTCTGGCCGAAACCAACCCTCAGCAAGACTCCGCAGCCTTCACCACGAGGACAACCTTCTCTCCCACTCCATCGCCGCCGCCGTCCACCACCCTCCTCCACCCATCCCCACCCATCCACACCTTCCATTTTTCCCTACGCCATGGCTGCGCGGACGCTTCAACCACTCAGAAACCTCAGCGTCACGCTCCTCCTCTTCGCCGCATTGCTCGCTTCCTCACTACTAGCAGCGCCAGCGTACGCCGCCCAAACCCCACCCGCCGCCGCCGCCGCGAGCGCCGCTCAGCCGTCGCTTTCCTCCCGTAGATCCCAAGGCCTCCTCAACAGATTAAAGCGCTGGCGCTTAGTGAATCTCTCCAGCAAGCCTCAGGCGGCTCCTGCTGCCGCCGCCTCCGCCGCTGCTACAGGCGGGGTCGCCTCTGCGGGGCCTAGCAGTGCTACAGCCCGAACAGCCTCCGCTGTAGCGCCGCTGGCAGTGACGCCGCGTGCCGCCACCGTGGCGGCCACGTGCCAGGCGTCGACGCTCGCGGGATACACGAGCTCCGTCGACCTCTCAGGAAAAGGGTGAGTTGATTTTTGAGTCGACTCAAAGAAAGCTCCGTCGACCTCTCGGGAAAAGGGTGAGTTGATTTTTTAGTCGACTCAAAAAAAGCTCCGTCGACCTCTCGGGAAGAGGGTGAGCATTTCGGGGGTGATAGTCTCGAGAAGATTCGATCAAGAGAGCTCTGTGCAACTCTCGCGCAGAAAGTGAGTTCTACGCTCTTTGAAAAAGAGGCGCTCCGAAAGAGGCGCTTGTCCTAGCGAAAGGGGCTGGTATCTCTGCCTCTGTCCCGAATTGGCTTTTGAGTCTTGTACCGGGACAGACTCAAAAGCCGCTCCGAAACAGGCGCTTGACCTACCGAAAAGGGTTTAGAATACTTATGCCTCCGAGACAGACAGAGTCTGTCCTGAATTCCACCACCGCGTATCATCCCTCGGTCTCCCTTCCCCAGGCTCGTGCGGCTCCACTGGAAGAAGTCAACGGGGAGTCAACGATCGACCCGGCCCTCGAGGCCAAGTCGAAGAGCTCTGAGCTGTCCCAAATTCCGCCGTTCTCCCCTCCCCCAGACTCATCCTCCACTGGAAGAAGTCAACAGGGTCAACGATCGACCTGGCGCTGGAGGCCAAGTCAACAAGCGGCGCGGCGAGCGGGTGGATCTCCGTGGCGTGGAGCAGCGGCGGCATGTTCAACTCCGACGCGGTCGTCGGAAACCTCGCCACGGGGAGCGGCGTGGGCGCATACGCGATATCGAGCTACTCGAGCGTCGTCCCCACGACGCGCTTCGCGATCACCAAGGCGAGCGTAGCGGCGGCGGCGGCGGCGGGCGGCGGCACGATAGTGAAGTTTACGCGCGCGGCGGGGAGCGGGCTCGTGCCGGTGAAGGTTGGGGGGAGCAACAAGCTCGTGTGGGCGTACTCGGCTGGCGGCTCCAAGACACTCGCCAACCATGGGAGCTCGCACAGGTAAGGCTCCCTTGCAGTAACGTGGTAACAAGCTCGTGTGCGCTTCTCGTCCAGGGGATCGCTCCGAGATCACAGCCACCATGGGACCTGGTAACCCAGTAACCTGGCGACAAGCTTGTGTGGGCTTATTCGTCGAAGGGTCTCGTCCTTCGACCCCATTCTCGTCCCTTATCCTCATTCTCCTTGGGACCTCTCAACTAAGGCCGCTTCTTCCTTGGGCCCGTCCCATATTCTCCTCCTCTTCTTTTGAGGCGCCTCAAAAGTCGTCCCATATTCTCCTCCTCTTCTTTTGAGGCGCCTCAAAAGTCGTCCCATATTCTCCTCCTCTTCTTTTGAGGCGCCTCAAAAGTCGTCCCATATTCTCCTCCTCTTCCGTCCGCTCCTCGCTCTCTGCCCTTATCCTCATTCTCTTACCTTAACGTTCATTCTCCTCTCCTCTCCTCTCGACCTGATCTGAACCCTCCAGAGGAGCCAAGACTGTTGACTTGTCTTGCAACGGCACAGCCTCGGGATCAGGCTCGGGGTCCGGCGGGGGCACGGGCTCAGGACCGGGGACGTGCACGGGCAACACGGGCGTGAGCGGCACGGCGTGCCCCGCGTCCACTCTCTGCGGCTACTCCTTCCAAACTCAGCTCAAGCCCGGGTACGCAGTTCGCTGCCCACCTAGTTTTGAGGCGCCTCGGCATTCTGAGTGATCGAAGTCTGGTTTTAAGGAGCCTCAAAACTCCACTCTCTTGGGTTACTCCTTCCAAGCACAGCTCAAGTCCGGGTATGCAGAGCCTTGATTTTGATTGACACCACTAGCTCCTCTCCGCCCGCCCTTTCGTCATCAGCCACCGCACCCCTCTGTCCGCTGGTGTAATGAGTCGATTTTTGAGTCGACTCAAGAATCTCCTCTGTCTGCTGGTGTATCTCTTTCACTCCAATTTATGTTTTCACTTTTCTTTCTTTCTCGATCTGGTTTCGCCGACCTATGCGGCCAGGGCTCATTCCTCCTCCTCCTTCCCTTTCCCTTCCCTCTTCGCACCCCCACTCCCCTTCCCTCCTCCTTCCTTTCCCTCCTCCCCCGCCAGCGTGCTTCTGCTCTGGAAGCGCGCCTCCCCCACGCAGCTGGACATGACGGTCGAGCTGAAGCCCAGCAGCGGCTCATCGCATCCCTCTTCCTTCCCTAAACCCCCAACGTTCCCCTCAACCCCCCACGCCACTCTCCCCTCTGCAGAGTGCTGCTGCACTGGAAGAAGGCGTCCCCCACGCAGCTGGACATGGCAGTCGAGCTGAAGCCCAGCAGCGGCATCACCAACAGCTGGTTCGCGCTCGGCTGGTCCAACACTGGCGCCATGGCGCCTGCTGACGCCATCATCGGCAACCGGGCGGGCGGCATCGTGAGCGCGTACAAGATCACGGGCTACTGGATGTCCTCGCTACTGGCCGGCTCGTTTGACATTGGCGCCAGCTCAGGGACCGTAAAATCTGCTAAGGGCTCCACGGTTATCCAGTAAGTTTCTGATGTGTGTCTTTTCCTCCACTTCGCGATTGGCACTTCCGTGCCTTCCTCTCACGCCTCTGTGTTCGCTTGCATATTCCGGTCGACCAAACGCTCTGAGTGTTTTCCTGTCCCCCCTGGACCAATCAGGTTCTCGCGCACAGACAACACGGGGTCCATACGTATGAAGATGAGTGGCGCAAACCGTCTCATCTGGGCGCACTCCAACTCCAACTCCCAAACCCTCGCCTTCCATGGCAGCAGCGAGTGAGTGTACCCATCTTGCCCTATCTGCCCCGCGGCAGCAACGAGTGAGTGGCGTGAAGTGTCGCAGGAACGAGTGAATGTGCCCCTCAGCAGCTCTGCAGTGCGGCAGCACTGGTCTTGAGACGCCTCAAAGCACGGCAGCAGCAAGCGAGTGGCGTGAACAGTCACGGAACGCCTGAGTGAGTGTGCCCCTCTGCAGCTCGGCAGCGCTGCAGCACTAGTCTTAAGTCGCCTCAAAGCACGGCAGCACGAGTGAGTGGTGTGTTTCGTCGCATCTTTGCCCCTCTCTGCAGCGCTGGCACCTCTGCATGCACCCAACCACCACTGCACTGCACTCTTCCATGATGGTGTTGATTCCCCTGTCCCTCCCTCTCCGTCTCTCACATACCCCCTTTGACCTCTGCCTTACTCGTTCTCACCCATTCTGTCCGTTTCTATCTCAGTGCTGGCCTCTACGTGGACTTCTCATGCGCCACTGCCCCGACTTCCAGCACCCGCTCTTTACTCTCGCAGCTCGCTACTTGGCTCGGCGCGCTCTTCGGCGTCAATATGTAGGGCGGATGAGTTGGCAGTGGAGTGGAGGGGAGTTGAGCAGTGTGGTTGCACTAGGGAGTGGGCCGGACCACAGGCATCTTATGGCGTTGTGTGGCTGCTAGATTGCCACAACCCAAAAGATGCTTGTGGTGTGGGTGCCTTGCCTTGTTTACCATGCCATCCTATTGTTGAGTATGGCCTTTTCAGAATGTGCAACAGTTGTTTTGAATTAATCCAACGATTACCCAGTATACAGATGAGACTAAACTGGTGCAAGCTTGCTTAAAAAGCAGATAGAGAAGGATGAAACAAAAAATGAGCCAAAAGGTATAACACATAATGCGGCTTTCTAGACATGTACACATGTATACATACACTCTACAAAACTCGCTAAGCTCGGAACCTTATCGCGTACAGCTCGTTTGAGAGCAGTCGGGGACTCGGGGAGGCCTATTCCTATCAATTCCTCAGCACTGGGAATTGGGGTGCCTAGGGATTACTTCTACACAATTCTGCTGTCCGCTACAGATTATTTCACGATCCCCAACTTAGAGACCGTTTCGGTCTTCTATGCTAAGAGTGACCCACCTTCCCCCACGTGACCTGCGAAACAACCGGACTCTACGAATTGATCGCGAGTGTAATCTCACAAAGGCTCTTCCTTAACTGATCCCCACTGGTGGCGTCGTGTCGGTCGGTTTTATCAGCTGGTGATTGGCCAGTTGAACTCTGTAATCAGCTGGGAATTATTGGACAATCCACCTAATGGTTCTCTTACGCGCGAGCCTCCATGGCGTGTGCCTCAATCGCAGCCACACCGTCACAATTTCCCACTATCATCACATTCCCGCTATTAGCGAATCCCGTAATTGCTGCGAACCAGCGAACGCGACAGCCGCATCCCAGCACGAGCAACGCAGCACCGGGACCGCTTCGAGAGTCCCATGCAGCACCGGAACCGCTTCCTGCCGACGATCCCTAAGAAGCAGATTCATTCGCCAGGCGTCCTTCCTTCGACCGGTCAGCTCCTCGCCGATTCTAAGAGCACGAGAACTTATGTCTTTTCAACGAGGGAAGTCGGACGGGTCAAAGCTCCGTGCGAGCCTACACACAGACGCCACGCCTGGGAAGTTTCCTCGGGAGCCGCAGGTGCTGCCATGTGAGTGCGTGTGAGCCTGCTCAAGTTTCCTCACTTAGCCTAGCTTCTCATTTCAGCTGGGATGACTGATTGACCAGCTCCGGACCTCCTCGTCATCCCTCGTGAACCCACGGCAGCGGCAGCGGCAGCGGCACCAGTAGCCTGTGCCCCGTGGCTTTTGCATTGTGCCTTGTGGCTTGTGGTTTGTGCAGCCCCACTCTCGTTGCTGCAGCGTAGCCAATGGCTGTGGTCCGTTGACCTGATCGTATAGTATACCTGTTGGTAGCTCTTTTGAGGCATGGATCGGAGGCGAATGCCTGAGCCAGTAACGATTGACCTTCCATGCCCTCTTCTACTCCTTCCCCCTGCTTTCGTTTCCCAGTCTCCAGCAGACGACAGCGGGTCAGAGGAGAGAGCAGCAGGAGAAGCAGCTGGCAGCAGCTGACTCAATTACACCCCTCCCCCCTCCCCCCCCCCTCCCCACACACACCTCCCCCCTCCTCCCCCCTTCCTTCCACCTATCCACCCACCCACCTACCCACCCACCTACCCACCCACTTGTTCTCCCCTCCCCCCTCTTTCGTTTTCCAACGTTGTCCAGCAGACGACAGCAGGACAGAGGAGAGAGCAGCAGGAGAAGCAGCTTGCAGCAGCTGACTCCATGCAACCCCCCCTCCCCCCACACACCCACCCATCCATCCACCTACACACCCACTTGTCCTCCCCTCCCCACTCTTTCCTTTCCAACGTTGTCCAGCTGACGACAGTGGGTCGGATGACAGCGGCACCAGGCGGGGCGGCAGCAGCAGCTGGCAGCAGGCGAAGCTGAAGTGGAAGCCGCCGCAGACCGTGTGGCGGGCGTTTGCCACCCTCATCATGGCGGGGCAGGTGGGAATCGGGGCAGGTGGGACTCGGGACAGGTGGAGTTTAAGGTGGTTGAGATTCTGTGGGTGTGTGATCGAGGGAGCAGGTGGGATGTAGGGGACAGGTGGGCATCAGGTCGTCTATTATCTGCATCGCAGCCATCAGCAAGCCACCTCACTTTTGGGCCACATCAGATCTGCTTAGCTCTGTGTGGTCCGACTCTATCTCCTCATACTCTTACTGTCCTGCAACTTCTTCCCCCACGCGCCCAACCATGTGCTGCCAGGTGTCCGTCCGCGTGCTGACGGGGCGCGTCCACTGGCGCAATCTGCTGACTCAGCTTCAGATCGTGGGGCCAGGATCGCTCGGAGTCTCCCTGCTGACAGCATGCTTCGTTGGCATGGCGTTCACCATCCAGGTATGGCGTTCACCATCCAGGTATGGCGTTCACCATCCAGGTATGGCGGTCACCATCCAGGTATGGCGTTCACCATCCAGGTATGGCGTTCACCATCCAGGTATGGCGTTCACCATCCAGGTATGGCGTTCACCATCCAGGTATGGCGTTCACCATCCAGGTATGGCGTTCACCATCCAGGTATGGCGTTCACCATCCAGGTATGGCGGTCACCATCCAGGTATGGCGTTCACCATCCAGGTATGGCGTTCACCATCCAGGTATGGCGTTCACCATCCAGGTATGGCGTTCACCATCCAGGTATGGCGTTCACCATCCAGGTATGGCGTTCACCATCCAGGTATGGCGTTCACCATCCAGGTATGGCGTTCACCATCCAGGTATGGCGTTCACCATCCAGGTATGGCGGTCACCATCCAGGTATGGCGTTCACCATCCAGGTATGGCGGTCACCATCCAGGTATGGCGTTCACCATCCAGGTATGGCGTTCACCATCCAGGTATGGCGGTCACCATCCAGGTATGGCGTTCACCATCCAGGTATGGCGGTCACCATCCAGGTATGGCGTTCACCATCCAGGTATGGCGGTCACCATCCAGGTATGGCGTTCACCATCCAGGTATGGCGGTCACCATCCAGGTATGGCGTTCACCATCCAGGTATGGCGTTCACCATCCAGGTATGGCGGTCACCATCCAGGTATGGCGTTCACCATCCAGGTATGGCGGTCACCATCCAGGTATGGCGTTCACCATCCAGGTATGGCGGTCACCATCCAGGTATGGCGTTCACCATCCAGGTATGGCGTTCACCATCCAGGTATGGTGTTCACCATCCAGGTATGGCGTTCACCATCCAGGTATGGCGGTCACCATCCAGGTATGGCGTTCACCATCCAGGTATGGCGGTCACCATCCAGGTATGGCGTTCACCATCCAGGTATGGCGTTCACCATCCAGGTATGGCGTTCACCATCCAGGTATGGCGTTCACCATCCAGGTATGGCGGTCACCATCCAGGTATGGCGTTCACCATCCAGGTATGGCGGTCACCATCCAGGTATGGCGTTCACCATCCAGGTATGGCGTTCACCATCCAGGTATGGCGTTCACCATCCAGGTATGGCGTTCACCATCCAGGTATGGCGGTCACCATCCAGGTATGGCGTTCACCATCCAGGTATGGCGGTCACCATCCAGGTATGGCGTTCACCATCCAGGTATGGCGTTCACCATCCAGGTTCGGTTCGGGCTAAGCCTTCACTAGACTCACGGTCCAGGATGTGAAATCGGCACTTGAATTGCATGGATTCAGAGAGCGCCAGACTGATCCACGATCCCCATGTGTAACTCCACCATCCCCATGTGTAACTCCACCATCCATGTGTAACTCCACCATCCATGTGTAACTCCACCATCCATGTGTAACTCCACCATCCATGTGTAACTCCACCATCCCCATGTGTAACTCCACCATCCATGTGTAACTCCACCATCCATGTGTAACTCCACCATCCATGTGTAACTCCACCATCCCCATGTGTAACTCCACCATCCATGTGTAACTCCACCATCCATGTGTAACTCCACCATCCATGTGTAACTCCACCATCCATGTGTAACTCCACCATCCATGTGTAACTCCACCATCCATGTGTAACTCCACCATCCCATGTGTAACTCCACCATCCATGTGTAACTCCACCATCCATGTGTAACTCCACCATCCATGTGTAACTCCACCATCCATGTGTAACTCCACCATCCATGTGTAACTCCACCATCCATGTGTAACTCCACCATCCCCATGTGTAACTCCACCATCCATGTGTAACTCCACCATCCATGTGTAACTCCACCATCCATGTGTAACTCCACCATCCCCATGTGTAACTCCACCATCCATGTGTAACTCCACCATCCATGTGTAACTCCACCATCCCATCCCCCCTCTCTCGCCCTTGCCCCCTCTCCTCCCTCCTATCCCGCACATCTGTTTGTGGGGGAAGTTTCCCGTCTGGGCTTATCTTGCTCAGTGGGGGGGGTTTTGAGGCGTCTCAAAAATCGTTTCCCGTCTGGGCTTCTCTTGCTCAGTGGGGGGGGGGGGGAGTGCTGGCGCTGGCTCTGTGCAGAGAGCTGTCCCTGTGACTCCACTCTCCCACCGTCTTCCAACCTTCCCTTCCTTTGCATCTCCCCTTGTACTCGTCTCCGCCCACCAGTTTGTGCGCGAGTTTGCTCGCCTGGGGCTCACGCGCTCCGTGGGGGGCGTGCTGGCGCTGGCGCTGTGCAGAGAGCTGTCCCCCGTGGTGACGGCCATCATCATGGCTGGGCGCGTTGGCAGTTCCTTCGCTGCTGAACTGGGCACCATGCAGGTAGGGCTATGGGGAAACTGTGACCAAGCCAGCATGGAAACTGTGACCACGCCAGCATGGAAACTGTGACCTCGCCAGCATGGAATCTGTGGAGTTATGGGGACATGCCTTCGTCGTCACCACATTAGCTGTCCCCGTGGTGATGCCCATCATCATGGCTGGGCACATTGGCAGTTCGTTCGCTGCTGAGCTCGGTACCATGCAAGCAGGGGTCTGGGGATATGGGATATGGGATATTGAGCATAAATGCTGTCGATTTATGGCCACATACCTTCGTCACCTCGTCACCTCGTCACCTCGTCACCTCGTCACCTCGTCACCTCGTCACCTCGTCACCTCGTCACCATATCACCTGTCCCCCGTGGTTACTGTCATCATCATCATGGTCCGCCACGTTGGGAGCTCCTTCGCTGCTAAACTGGGGAGTGGGCACCATGCAGGTGGTGACTCCTGTGCAAGGATGTGTTTTGTTTTTTAGGCGCCTTAAGAATAGACTCCTGTGCAAGGAAGTGCTCTGTTTTTGAGAAATCTCCAAAAACAGAACACATCGCAGCTGAACTGGGCAGTGGGCACCATGCAGGTGGTGACTCCTGTGCAAAGGCCATGCCTCACGAAGGTGGTGCTGCGCGCCATGCTGACTTGAGTCGAGCCAGAAGTGGTGGTGGCACCATGCAGCAGTGCACCATGCAGCAGCGCACCACGCAGCAGAGCAGCGCACCATTCAGCAGAGCAGCACACCACATAGCAGAGCAGCACACCACGCAGCAGAGCAGCGCACCATGCACCTCACCATGATGCGCACATCATGCAGCACTCCAGCATTGATGCACATCTTATGCCACTTTCATTCAACATTTCCTCATCTACCATATGCCTCAATACCTGGCACGTCCCTCCCACGTCGTCTCTTCACACCCCTTCCCTTCCCTCCCAATCCTCATGCATGCCACACAGGTATCGGAGCCTATGGATACGCTCAGAGTACTCAAAGGCTGCCCGAGTGGATTACCTGGTGCCCACATGAGTAGTGGCCTGTGCGGTGGCGCTAGCGGTGCTGGCGCTGCTGTGCTTCACAGTGGGCATGGCGTCCTCCGTGTTACTGCCTCACGCTCTCCTTCTCCCCTGGAAACCCCCTTTCCCCCCCCCTCCCTGCAGGTGTCAGAGAATACGGACACGCTCCGAGTGCTCAAGACTGACCCTGTCGACTACCTCGTAATGCCCCGTGTGGTAGCATGCGCGGTGGCGCTACCCGTGCTCACGCTGCTGTGCTTCACAGTGGGCATGGCGTGTCCTCTCTGCTCCTGCCTCACGCGCTCTGCTTCTCCCCCGGACCTCCCCCCCTCCCTGCAGGTGTCGGAGCAAACGGACACGCTGAGAGTGCTCAAAACCGACCCGGTGGATTACCTGGTGACCCCGCGAGTGGTGGCCTGCGCGGTGGCGCTGCCAGTGCTCACGCTACTGTGCTTCACAGTCGGTATGGCGTCGTCTGTGTTCCTGGCTGACGCCGTCTACAACGTCAGCTCCAACATCATCCTCGACTCCGCTGCTAGAGCCCTGGAGGTATGGGGTTAGGCAGAGGAGCAGTGAGAGGAGGTAGGGGCTGCAGGTGGGCAGGGCATGGCGCCGTCTGTGTTCCTGGCTGATGCAGTCTACAACGTCAGATCAAACATCATCCTAGACTCCACTGCCAGGGGGCTGCAGGTGTGTGCTATGGTGGGCAACTGTAGGTAGGGTAGGTGTTAGATGAAGAGCAAGGACTAGGGGGTGTGACTGGGGGTGGTGTGACTGGGGGGGGGTGTGACTGGGAGGGGGGTGTTGTATTGCCTCGTCTGTGCTCCTGGCTAACGCTGTCTTTGACGTCATCCTAGACTCCGCTGCGAGGGCGCTGCGGGCATGGGATCCGGCAACTGTATGCGAAAGATGCGCGGTGGTGGTGACGGCATGGGGCGTGCTGAGAGCAGGACGTGCTGAGAGCAGGACGTGCTGAGAGCACGATGGTGAAAACGGTGGTGTCAGGAGGCAATGGCATCACAGTGGGCGTGAGTTGAGGGTGGTGGAGGTGTCACCTCCCTCCTGGCGTGAGTTGAGGGTGGTGGAGGTGTCACCTCCCTCCTGGCGTGAGTTGAGGGTGGTGGAGGTGTCACCTCCCTCCTGGCGTGAGTTGAGGGTGGTGGAGGTGTCACCTCCCTCCTGGCGTGAGTTGAGGGTGGTGGAGGTGTCACCTCCCTCCTGGCGTGAGTTGAGGGTGGTGGAGGTGTCACCTCCCTCCTCCCGTCCTTTGGCACACCTTCGTGTTCTCTCTCTCTCTCTCTTTCCTTCCCCCCTTGCAGGCATGGGACGTGCTGAGTATGATGGTGAAGGCGGTGGTCTTCGGGGGCATCATAGCGGACGTGTCCTGTGGGTGGGGCATGACCACACAAGGGGGACAATTCCCTTCCCCCCTCCCTCCCCCATTCCTCCCCAACCCCCCCCTTTTTCCCCCCTCCCCCCCCCTGCAGGCATGGGACGTGCTGAGCATGATGGTGAAGGCGGTAGTCTTTGGGGGCATCATAGCGGATGTGTCGTGCGGGTGGGGCATGACCACGCAGGGGGGTGCCAAGGGTGTGGGCGAGTCAACGACAGCAGCGGTGGTCATCTCTCTCGTGCTCGTTTTCATTGCTGATTTTGCTCTTTCATGGTGCTTCTTCCAAGGCCCGGGGGATGCGCTCAAGGCTGCTATGGGGTAGAACTGGGGGGGGGCAGGAGGGAAGGCGGAGAGGGGAGGAATGAGGCAGAGAGGGGAGGAGGGAGGCAGAGAAGGGAGGAGGGAGGCAGCAGGCGAGTCTACCACAGCAGCAGTGGTCATCTTTCTCGTGCTCGTCTTCATTGCTAACTTGGCTCTCTCCTGGTGCTTTGTCCGAGGACTGGGGGATGCTCTCAAAGCAGCCATGGGGTGGAAAAGGGGGGTGGTTGAGGCGAGAGGCAGGAAGTGAAGATGGGCGTGGCTTGTGGGTGAGTCAACCACAGCAGGGGCCCGGTGTTGTTCCCATAGCAGCCATGGGGCGAGGCAGCCATGTTGTAGAGAGGAGGGGAGCAGGAGAAGAGATGGGAGATAAAATGCGTTGAAAGAAGCGTTTCGTTCGATATTGGTGCTTGTTGTGAGTGTTACAGAAGCTATGTTTTGATCATGGCACGTGTGGTTACATGAATTTGTAGCACATTGTAACATAATGGTGGCAGCTGTTGTGGCAAGGTAGCATGGCAAGGGCTTTGCTATGCTTGTGAAGTCTATGCATTTCATACCCATGTTTTGTTTAAAACTGCATCGAAGGCAGCAGCGAGTTACTTACCAGCAGGGTTTGGCGAGGGCGCGCACAACCAATCAGAAATGTGCCTTCCGAGCTTGTCGAAGCGGATTCGCATTTATCCGTGCATTTCGCGAACCTGGAACATGTTTCGGGTGTGTGCTCGAATGTTTAGGGCTTGGCCTTCGGGACTCGTTGAGCGGGCAGCGTAAATGGACGGGACGGGATAGATTCAAATGCCCCGCTCCCGTACCCGTAAACGAACCTGTTTTCCAGGTTCGCAGAGAGAAACCCGAGCCACAGGCTCGAGGTTTCTATGGTTTGGTAGGGGATGTAAGAAAGTTATAAGGTTTTCAATGCGGAAGGTTCAGATTCGCTGTCCGTGAACCTGGAAAACAGGCTCGTGTACCTCCGCACCGCCATACCGGAATCCGCTTCGCGCCTCCGCTGCGACCCGCTGTTCCCGAATCCCCCGACCCCAGGCTGCCCGTGCGTGCTCCTCCGCCTTTGCTGGAATGTTGCTCATTGAGATCGGGGGTGGGGGCGGCGCGCGTCTTGGGAGCTCTCTCTTTCTCTCTTAGCATCCTGCCTGTTTCTAGAGACGTATTTTAGGCAGAGGATCTCACTTTATTCAGACATCGCTCGGTTCTCTTGCTCTGCGTCGTTCATTGTATCTCTAAGGCTGCTAGTTCCAGTACATACTAGCGCTTCTCAGCTAGTGTTTACGTCAGTCCGCTCTTAGCTTCCACGCTTCGGGCCTTCTAGCTCGCCGATAACCAGTGCTCGTTAGTTACTCCGACGCTGAAAATAGGTGTCTCGCAGTCTTCCCTCGACCGTGTGTGCGCCGCGTCTCTCGGCGGCAGAACGAACCTTGTCGTCGATTCGCGATTCACTGAGGCGCTCGCCGCGTTCGCCGCTTCGGAAACGCACTTTCATCGCGATTCCTGGGGCAGCTCGAGGCAAATCGACGGCCGGTCTTTCTTGGTACGCTCATCTCCCTGCAAGGGAATTCCCCATCGCCACTTGCCGCTTGACGACGCAAGCTCTTATTTCGGCGTTCATTCGCTCACTCGCGCTCGTCGTTCCCGGGTGAACATTTTCCTTTCCTTTCACTCGTCTTCTCGTCTTCTCGTCTTCTCGTCTTCTCGTCTTCTCGTCTTCTCGTCTTCTCGTCTTCTCGTCTTCTCGTCTTCTCGTCTTCTCGTCTTCTCGTCTTCTCGTCTTCTCGTCTTCTCGTCTTCTCGTCTTCTCGTCTTCTCGTCTTCTCGTCTTCTCGTTTTCTCGTCTTCTCGTCTTCTCGTCTTCTCGTCTTATCGTCTTCTCGTCTCTCGTGCCAACAGTGCGAGCAGCTGGATGCGACCGACCACGTGCGCCGCTCCTCTGCCGCCGCCGCGGTTTCCGCCGCTGCCGGCGCGACTAGCACCGCGAGCGAGCGCAGGGACAGCGCGATCCGCGCTCTCGCGGAGTCGATCCTCGTCGCCTGCCCGGCGCGACACTCGTTCGCCTTCTCCTCCTCCTCCGGGTCGGACGGCGCCGCCGACGCCGCTGGTGCTGCGTTTGGGAGCATCCATGGCGGCGCGTGTCGCTCGTCCATGTCGTCCTTCGCCTTCTCCACGCGCGGGGGACGCGACGGGGGCTCCTCCTCTTTCTGGGGGGGACGGGGCTCCTCCTCTTTCTGGGGGGGACGGGGCTCCGCCTCCTCCTCCTCCTCGGGCGGAAGAGGTTCCGCCTCTTCCGCGTGGCCCCGCCGCTCCTCTGCGTCGTCGTTCGCCTTCTCCAATCTCGCCGCTTCTTCCCCGCGTCCCTCGGACGGCCCTCTGTTCACTATCGCGGAAGCTCTTACCGAATCACTGCTGGCCGTCCAAGACCCCTTCCCTCCGTCGGACGGTCAGTCTTCTGACGGTGTGGCTGCTGGCAGTCGTGGAGAAGCGGATGGCGGCGTTGCGGCGGCGGAAGAACAGGCGACGGACGGCAATTTGCCGCCCGATCTGAGCGGGTTGAGCAACGGGGAGTTGCTAATGGTGGCGGCGAGCCGCATCGCGCTGCTGACGGCGTCGCTGGGCGAGTCGCGGGCGATCAACGAGGAGCTGATGAGGGCGAGGGAGGCGGCGCTCTCGCTGCTCATGGATACGCAGCGGAAACTGACGGAGGCCACGACGCGCGCCGTGCTGTCGATGCCACGTGTCGACAGCTCGTGCGATCTGGCTGCGCTTGGCCGGGTTCGTGGCGGCGGGAGCGCGCAGCCACCGCCGTCGTCGGCCGTTTCCACGTCGGCGTCGTCGTCAGCGGCAGCAGCGTCAGCGGCATCGCCGACGGGGCAGAAGGCGAAGATTTACCTGGACGATGACGATGACGATGACGGCGACTACGACGAATCGGACGACGAATGCGACGTGCCTCGCAGGCCCGTCGCACCAGTCGCCAGGAGCCCGCATGCGGCTCCGTCGCCCCCCGCCCCGAGCCCAGCCCTTGCGCCATTGGCGGAAGCTCGGTCAGCGGAGAGCGAGGAGGCGGAGTATGCGCGGTTCCTCGAGCGGAAGGTCGCGGAGCTGCAGGGGGCGCTGTCGCAGGCGGAAGGCGCGCTGGAGTCCGCGCGTGCGAAGCGCGAGGCCTGGGCGGAAGGCCAGGAGCGCGCGGTTGCCGCCGCCGTCGCGGACGGCGAGGCTTCCGCCAAGCGCGCGCGGGCACGGGAGGTGGAGCTGATGGTGGCACTGCGGAGGGTGGAGGGGCAGCTTGTAACGGAGCGCAGACGTCACGTGGCAGAGGTCGATTCGCTGAAGGAAGCACTGGCCGGGGCGCAACGGGAGAAGGAGGGGTTATTAACGAGCCTGGAGGAAATGGGTCGGGCGTTGGAGCAGCAGCGGGAGGAGCGGGACGCGATCGTGGGGAGGCTGGCAGCGGAGAAGGCGGATATGGTGGGCGAGCTGATGGACGTGATTGTAGAGGCCGTGACTGACGCGGGGGGTGTGGGGGTTCTAGGGGGTGTGGGGGGTGTGGGGTGTGCATCTGGGCTGCTGGGTGCTGCTGCTCTGTTGGAACCGGTTCTGGCTGATGCGGCATATGTGAGCGTGGCTTCTGCTGACGTGGCAGTGGCTGGTGACGTGGCAGTGGTCAGTGACTTGGCGGATGGGGGAACCACAGCAGCTGAGGTGGCACTGGAGGGAGGCAGTTACGGGGGTTGGGAGGAAGTTCAGCCAGAGGCTGCTGCTGAGGGGGGTGAAACCCTCATTGCAACCTCTGAAGCTGACACCACTGTCACCCTTGCTACAGCTGCTACAGCTGTTACACTTGCTACAGCTGCTACAGCTGTTACACTTGCTACAGCTGCTACAGCTGTTACACTTGCTACAGCTGCTACCGCTGTTACACTTGCTACAGCTGCTACCGCTGTTACACTTGCTACAGCTGCTACCGCTGTTACACTTGCTACAGCTGCTACCGCTGTTACACTTGCTACAGCTGCTACCGCTGTTACACTTGCTACAGCTGCTACCGCTGTTACACTTGCTACAGCTGCTACCGCTGTTACACTTGCTACAGCTGCTACCGCTGTTACACTTGCTACAGATGCTACCGCTGTTACAGCTGCTGCAGCTGGGGATAGGATTAGCAGCAGAAGGCGCTACAGCACAACTGCTGGAGACGGCAGGGGCAGGGGCAGGAGCAGGGGCAGGGGCAAGGGGGATGACAGAATCAGTGGCACCAGGAGCGGGCGGGGAAGTGAGGGAGCACGGGGAAAAGGAGTGGATTCAGAAGGACATATTTCCAAGGGCAAGAGCCGGGTGCTGAGGGATAGGGACCTGCCCGCTCGGCGACACACTATGGTCCCCTGCAGGCTCCCCCGCTCCTCCCTTCCCTTGCACCTCCACTCCTTCCACTGCCGCCCCTCGCTCCCATCCCTGTTACCCGTTGGCCGAGAGCCAGGGGAGGGCCGAAGGGGTGAGGAAAACGTGGAGTGGAGGGAGGGGGCGAGAGTGAGGCAGGGTGAAGGGGAGGGAGGGGGCTGCAAGGGCTGGAGAGAACGGAGGGGCGAGGCCCAAGGGAGGGCGCTGGACAGGGGGGAGGGGAGGGGTTTGAATGGCAGGCGTTCCGAGCTCTTATCGATGATGGTGCTGTGGCGGGTGGTGCTGTGGCGGGTGGTGCTGTGGCGGGTGGTGCTGTGGCGGGTGGTGCTATGGAGGGTGGTGCTATGGAGGGTGGTGCTATGGAGGGTGGTGCTATGGAGGGTGATAATGGCGAGGCTGGTGAGGGGGCGGAGAGGAGTGACAGGACGGACCCTGGAGCAGTGATTGGTGGTGACTCTATTGAAGGTGATACTATTGAGAGTGATGTGATGGGGCGACGAGGCAGGGTGGTGTCTGGGAGGAGGCGGTGGTGGGACAGAGGGGTGATGGAGCGGGTGAGGGCGTGGGAGTGGCGGGGGGGGAGGGAGAGAGGAGCAGGAAGGGAGGGGAGAAGTTCAGAAGCGGGAGCAGGGGAGCAGAGGCAGGTGGATCAGAGAGAGGGTGGGGACATGAGGGTAGGTGAACATGGGGGGCGTGTGGCTGTGAGTGAGGCTGTGAGTGGGGCTGTGAGTGAGGCTGTGAGTGAGGCTGTGAGTGAGGCTGTTGGGGGGGGAGGCTACAGAAGGAATGCGGATGTGAGGAGTGAGCATCTGTGGGATGAGAGTTGGAGTGAGCATGCGCTTGGGGGGGTGGTGGAGGGGGGAGAAGAGAGTGACGAGCTGGGGGCGATGGGGATGCTTGACGGCGATAAGGAGAATGTAGAGCCGGCCATGTAGGTGTAGTAGGGTAGGGTTGTTCATCCAGGTCCTGACATTGGTCAATGATCATGAACATTTCTGAAGTATTTTTTCCTTACTGTTAAGCTGCCTATGACAACCATGCTGCATGAGTGGATAGGAGATGGTGCAAGAAAACATGCAACTACTTGGCAGCACTGCTTGCACCAGTGCTGCTGGTAACGGCTTAATGTGGGGCTGCTTGTTCCACACTGGCCAGTAAGGAGCAGAAAGAGCACAAGGGCCAGTAGTCTACGGGTCTGAGTATAGTGCACGTCGTGCTGAAAGAGACATTTATTTACACATTGCACCACACATGCAAACAAAAGGGGAAAACCAAGAGAAATTATAAATTCCACTCTATACCCCATCTACCAGCCACTATACAGCGGAACACAACACAACATTAACAAGCCCGCCAACCGAACCAATCCAGACTATACACCTGATGCAGCAGCATTCCTGCCTCCTGCCACCGCCTCACTTCCATTGAAGCCCGCGTCCCTGCCCTAGACGTGGCACGTCCAGTAGGCATCAAAACGTGTTGGTGTTCACACTGACGGTCATATTCACAGTCGCCGCACCAATCGTGATCGACGCGATGAAACCTGAAGGGTTGCTGACGAGGCCCGAGTCGATGAGGTCCTTGACTGTGCCAACAGGCTCGTACGAGGCTGTGAGCGGCGCCGTCTCATAAATGAGGCACGAATAGGAGTTGTAAGTTACACTGGGGTACACCAGAGTGCTGGTTACATTCCAGGTGGTGCAGGGGAAGGTCGCGATGAGGGCGTTGGTGGCCTTGTTGTAGTATTTGGGGGATGAGAGGCTCAAGGTGCTGGGGACCATACTCACGAGAAACCGATACATCGCACTCTGGGTGCCCTTAGTGCTGCAACGGGGGACGGAGGGGGAGGGGGAGGGGGAGGGGGGGGGGGGAGGGGGAGGGGAAGGGGGAGGAGGGGGGGAGGGGGAGGGGGAGAGGGAGTATAAAAAACTTGAGAAAGCCATGGGGTAACTGGCCTTGTATGCACTCGTTTTAGCAGGCATGAAGATGGCGTTGGAGTCGACTCAAAAGTGTACTTGAGGAACCAAGTCCCCGTGGGAGGACTTACACGTTGAATGTGAGGGTGAAACTGGATTTGTATGCACTCGTTTTGGTAGACACCGAGGTGACATGATCTGCGTCGCACGGTCGTGCGGACGGGAAACACAGGGAGACGATAAGGCGATAGAACAGAGTAGAAATGATCTGCGTCGTGCGGTCGTGAGTACGCGTTAACGTCTCATGGTGGGAATAGAATACGCAGCAGCAGGGGTGAGAGGCAATTACCAAAGCAGGGGCAACGACTCGAGAAGTGGAGCCGCGGTGCGGAGAAAGGTCCAACGAAAGGAAGTGTGTGCGGGTGTTCTAAGTTGGTAGGGGCATGCAGTCCAAGTAGAGTATTGCCGGAGTGTGCTTTTTGGGGGTTCGAATGACAGCGTAGGTGGCGCGTTACTAGATGCAGCCAGTGGAGTTGCGCGTACATGCAGTGTTGCGTGTACATGCAGTGTTGCGCGTACATGCAGTGTTGCGCGTACATGCAGTGTTGCGCGTATATGCAGTGTTGCGCGTACATGCAGTGTTGCGCGTACATGCAGTGTTGGTGGTGAGGAGCAGGCAACGGCCGGCGGACGCGACGGAGACGACAGCGAGAAGAGCTGCATGGGAGAGAGCGACGGGGGGAAACAGTATTAAGAAATATTTGATCTAATCCTCATGGGAGGGAGTTGGCGGAAGGTTGCTGAAGACTACCAGTCGGTCAGATTCTAAAATCTTGTGGCTTGGCCAAGTCACGGTGCCATGTGACAAGGCGAATAAGGGTTGCACCTACCACAAGGAGGACTTGTTTTCGATTGTTTGAATGGCGGACACGAGGCTCTCACCAGCGAGGGCGAGTGCGAGACGCAGGAGAACAGAAGCGCGCGGCAGCGACGTGAGAGCCATGATGGAGAGGGTGTGAGGGTGAGCGCCGACGGGCGTGAGAGGTGACGGGAGACGGCGAGTGGCGTGAGAGGTGACGGGAGACGGCGAGTGGCGTGAGAGGTGACGGGAGACGGCGAGTGGCGTGAGAGGTGACGGGAGACGGCGAGTGGCGTGAGAGATGCTGCTGGTACTAGGCCGGGCGAGGCACGAGGGGAAGCTTGTGACCGAGAGGGATGGAGCGATCAGGGTGGATGCACCTGAGTCGAGTAGACTCAACTCGGAGATGAAATGAATGAGATGAATGGTCCACTAGTAAACGCAGCACGGACGAGCGTCCTTTGCATTAGCAAACGCATGCGGCGCGGTGGATAGGCTACGACAAAGACTGCCAAGGTACCCATGCGCATAGGAAAAGAATGCCGATTTCGGTGCGGCGCCATCCCATACGACCGGAATGCGTGATGTTTGCTAGTATCGCGTCGCGATCTCAGGTGCCTCCTGAGGTCGGTCGATCTCAGGCGATCTCCTGGCAGAGCGCTTGCCGGATCTGCCGGTCCTCGTCAGGAACGCGCAAGGAAGGCCGTGACGCAGGTGACGCAGCATGCGGTGTGGTTGGCATCGCGTTCGCTAAGGGGCTTTCCTGTGACTCTTGTAAAATGGAGCTCTACTCCCCGCCTGAAGTTCAGGTGCCGAGCATCGCGAGTGGCGTTCGGGATAGCGTGTTGTTTCGATATTCGATCGGCTGCTATCGCGCTGCGGCAGCAGGCACAGTTCTGGGGGTTTCCCAGGCTTCAGCTCTACAGTCGACTATTATTTGCATCTGCCGTCAGCTCACACGGCGTGTTCGTATTTGCTAGCTCCCAAGGCACCTGATCCCCGTCGCACGAAACATCCCTCCCCGAGTTTACCTACCCTGTGTGCAACCCACGTAGTATATTTCCCTCTCAGCATTCATAACTACTACAGTTTGGGCATTTCAATAATAACTCAACCTGATTGTCACTTCTTGTATACATGTGGGTTTGTTACTCCCCTCGGACCCGCACCACGCCGTTTGCTGCAAGCATCAGTATGCCCCGTCCAGGGTCCATGATGCTGTGAAGTTCGTGGTGGCCAAGATCGCGAAGTGGGCTGGTGGGGTGGTGATGATGGAGGATGACACGCTTCTGACGGGGAAACGGATGGACGTGGCTATCCGTCGACCAATGGAGGGGGAGGCGCATGCGCTCGAAGTGAGCGTAGTGGACCCTCTCAGAGTTGGAACGAATGACTAGAATGAGAGTATACAGGGGTATATAGCTAGTGGGTTGTACTTGTCACGAGAGCTAGGTAGGTAGGAAAACCATGAAAATGGCGAGAGGGTTTAGCTAGGAGAAAGTTGACGAGAGAAAAGAGATCGAGAATAGAAGAGAGAGGGATACAAGGAGGGGTGTTGTACCCTCTATAGTAAGTTTCAGTAATGCCTACCAAGCCTCGATTATATAACATGTATAATTTAACACACCCCCTAGGCTTGGTAGTAGAAGAACCCACACACACCCACACCCCCTAACCTAGCACCCCCAATTCCCAGCAGCAGCCATGACTACTCCGGCATGGCCAACCCCACAGCTCGGGAGATGGCGACGATGGCAGCGGCGGCAATGACGACAGCGGCGGCGGCGACGGCGTGCGGCGGCAACAGGCCATCGGCGAAAGCGGCGGCGGCGGTGGCTTCGACGACAGCGGCGCCTGCCCTCTCGACGGCGTGGCCAAGTTCCGCGACGATGGGGAAGACCCTCACGAGTCAAGCGTCGGCTGTGGCGAGGAAGGAGGGGACGCAGGGGAAAAAGGGGGGAGGGGGGGGAGGGGGGGGGAGGGCGTGGTCCAGCTGTCAAATGTAACTTAGGTTGTTACTGTAGACTATACTGGATTGTGCCTTAGAGGATACAACACCCTAGTCTATATATCCTTGTACACACACATTCTAGTACAATCATTTTTCTTTCTGTTATGGTATCATAGTAGGTTAGATCCCCCCCTAGCCCGCTCACGCTTCCGCCCCTACGTTCCTAGCCGGCCCCCTGGCCGTCGCGCTCGTCCCTAGCCGGCCCCCTGGCCGTCGCGCCCGTCTCTAGTTGGCTCCCTGGCCGTCGCGCCCGCTCCTAGCCGGCCCCCTGACCGTCGCGATCGCTCATAGTGGGCCCCCTGACCGTCGCGCCCATCCCTAGCCGACCTCTGACCGTTCGTGCCCGCCCCTAGCTGGCCCCCTGGCTGTCGCGCTCGCCCTTTGGCGCCCCCCTAGCCGTCGCGCCCGTCTCTAGCTGGCCCCCTGGTCGTCGCACCCGCTCCTAGCCGGCCCCCTGGCCGTCGCGATCGCTCCTAGCTGGCCCCTGACCGTCGCGCTCGCCCCTAGCCGGCCCCCTGGCCGTCGCGATCGCTCCTAGCCGGCCCCCCTGACCGTCACGCTCGCCCCTAGCCGCCCCCCTGGCCGTTCGCGCTCGTCCCTAGCCGGCCCCCTGGCCGTTGAGCCCCTCCTAGCCGGCGCCCTGGCCGTTTCGCGCCCGCTCCTAGCAGGCCCCCTGGCCGTTTGAGACCGCCCCTAGCCGTCGCGGCTGCTTCTAGCCGCCGTCGCGACCGCTTCCTGCCGTCCCTCGGCCGCTCCTAGTCGTCCCGGCCGCCCCTCGCCGTCGTGGCCCCCCCTAGCCGCCGCCGCTGCCGTCTCCAGCCGCCTCACGGTCGCTCCTGCCGTCGCGGCCGCCCCTCGCCGCCGTCGCGGCTGTCCTTGGCCGCCGTCGCGGCTGTCCCTGGCCGCCGTCGTGGCTGCCCCTGGCTGTCGTCGCGGCTGTCCCTGGCCGCCGTCGCGGCCGTGTCTACTTGCCGCCCGCCGGCCGGCCCCTGCATTTGCGCCGTCGCCGGCCCGCCGCTGCCTCGGGTTCGGCCCGTTCTTCTCGATCAGCACCGCCCTCCGAACCCCCCCCGGTACCGTACTGCATCGCTTTGCACTGCACTGCACCGCTTTGTATGGCACTATACCGCATTGCACCGCACTGTACCGCACTGCATCGCACTGTACCGCACTGCACCGTATTGCACCACACTGTACCGCACTGTACCGCACTGCACCGCTTTGGACCGCATTGCACTGCTTTGTACCATACTGCACCGCACTATACCGCACTGTACCGCACTGCACAGCACTGCACCGTACTGTCCTACTCTACACTGCCCTCTATTGTCACTCATGGCGGCGGTGCTTTGCTTTGACGCTGAGGGCCAGCCGATTGAGTTTGATGCGTGGCTTGCTGACCTCCGTCGCCATCTCACTGGTCAGCGGCAGGATGGCCACTCGCTGTCTGTCCATCTTGATGGTACCCTCCCCTGCCCTGACCCCCCCGCTGCCCTGTCTCCTGACCCCTCGTCCGCTGAGCGTGAGTCCGCTGCAGCCGCTGCCCTTGCTCGCTCTGTCTGGCTGTCCCATGATGCTGTTGCACAGCTTGCTATTAGCAATGCCCTCCCCCTGTCCGAGCGACCTCGCTTCAGGTCTATCACCACTGCCCAGGCTTTCCTAGATGCTGTTGTCCAGCGCTATTCCACCCCGCCTGCTGCCTCAGTCGGTCGGCTGATCCTCCCCATGCTCTTTCCTGACCTTGCGTCGTTCCCCACTGTCGCCGACCTGGCCGCTCACCTGCGCACCATAGACGAGACCTGGCGTGCTGCCTGCACCCCCACACAGCTTCTAGCCCACCAGCCGCCCCTCACCTCTACTCTCTACCTGCTAGCCACTCGCCTCCCTGACCGTCTTGCCACTGCTCGTGACCGCTTTCTTAGCGGTCACCCAGCAGACCTTACCCTGACTGACTTTGTTGACACCCTGTCCGCTATAGAGGCCGCCACCGCTCTATCGCTCAAACCAGCGGTACTGTGCCGGTCCCTATCTTTTAGGGTTGTGCCCCCGCTCAGTGCACTTTCTCCGACGGTTCTGCTGCTGTGGCTGAGATTGCCGCTGCCGCACAGGATTGTACAGGGAAGGGTCGCCGCCCCAAGGCTGGACGTGGCGACGGGGGTGGGGGTGCGGGTGTAGGTGGTTCTGGAGTTGGGTCACCTAGTGGTGGTGCTGACGCGGGGACCCTGACAGGTGCAGCCGAGCAGCCATCTCAGCAGTCGCCGGTGTTGCCGCCGGACCCGCGCCAGCCGCAGCAGTCACAGCCGTCGCCGCAGCCGCAGCAGTCGCAGCAGCAGCAGAAGCGGACGAGTCGTCTTCCGCCTGGGTGGCCCGACGCTGGTGGCAGCGCTGGACGTGGTGGTGGTGCGCGTGGTGGGCTGCCGAGTGGTGGTTCGGCTGCCGCGCGCTGTCAGTACCTGCTTCAGACCGGTCCTCGCCGTGGCTTCGTTTGCGGTAAGATCGGTCATACCTCCGTCCGCTGTTTCCGTCGCCTGGACGACCTGTTTCGTCAGCGATTCGGCCCGTCGCCCGAGCTCCCAGACTGGCACAGCTTGCTTAGTCGTAGGGTTCAGATTTTTGATCTGGACATGGATGAGATTGTTGCTGCTCTACATGTGATGTATGCTGATGACTCTAGTGTGCTTCCGTCTTATTACCCCTTGTTGCCTAGTGTAGGTGTGCCTTGCTGAGACTCCCCTGCTGCGTCAGGCGTAGGATCCCCTGCTTTGTTTAGCCTTGGTGCTACTGTCGTTAATTCGCCTCTGGCCGCCACTGCCGCGCAATCCTTCACCCTCGACTCTGGCGCTTCCCGGTGCTTCTTCCGCGACTCCACCTCATTGACACCGCTTCCTGTCCCTGCGTTCCACGTCTGGGGCTATCTTGCTCACGTTCGTGCCTCTGGCACGGACAAGCTCACTGCCCGCACCCTTCCCTGTGTCTTCCTCGGCTTCCCCCTTGACGCGTCTGACTGGCACTTCTACCACCCGCCGTCTCACCGGTTCTTTCACTCCCGTGACGTCACCTTTGACGAATCCGTCTCCTTCTTCCGCCGCTTCCCCCACCGAGGTCCCCCGGTTAACCCCCCCTTGTTCCTGGTCACCCCTTCCCCGGTCGTCGCCGCCCCTCCTCCTCCCCCTCCCCGTCCTGCTCCCTCTGGTGTGTCCCACGTCACCCCACTTACGTCGGTTGTACCGGTTGAGGAGACTACTGACTCTGGTAGTCCTGCGGCGCAGTCCTCGCCACCTGCCCCTTCTCAGGTGTCCTCTCCTCCGCCGCCTCCGCAGCCGCAGTCGCCACCGCTGTCGTAGCCGTCATCACTGCCGCCGCCGTCGACGCAGCCGTCGTTGCGACCGCCGCCGCCGCAGCCGTCGCCGCAGCAGTTGGTTGCCTCTGGGGGTGCTGGAGTTGGGGTGGGTACTAGTTGTCACAGGATCAAATGTGTCGAGGAAAGGTTGCACTATCGATCAGTACAAGGCGCTTTTATACTTCCAAAGTACATCAGGTAACCAGGTTTATCTTATCCTAAGGGAATAGACCCTTCTAGAAGATAGAATCACCCTGCGTATAGCCACGCGATGCTATTGGCTTTAAGGGATTACGGCAGGATTACGCAAGATAGCGTACCAGTACATCCCAAGCCTAGTCGGTGATATAATTATAATAGCAGGATAACCCAAAGGTTAATGGAAAATGGAGAATAAGAAACCAAATGAGATGAGATAAAAAGAGAAATGAAAGAGGAAGGAAATAAGAAAAGGAACAAGTGGTGTAACGAGGTCGTGCTCTCACACTAGTCCTGGGACTCCTGTCGTGGCTTGTCCTGGCGGGCCTGGGGGTGGTACCGATGTTCGAGGGGTTCTGAGCTCTGGGGGTGTTCCTTCTGGGGGTGCTGGTGTGGAGTGTTCTGGAGGTAGCCGCCTAGCAGCTTGCGGTCCCGGTGTCGGCGTCACACCGCCGTCAAAGCAGTCCCCACCGGTGTCTGCTCTTTGCCTGCTCGGCCTTCCGTCCCCTGACCCCGTGCCCGTGCCTCCTCCTCCTCCTGTCTCCGGCCCTGTGTTCCCTCCTCCGGACGCGTCTCCGCCCCGTTTCCCCCCTCGTTCCCCTCCTGTGTCCCCTCCTCTGTCTCCTGACCCGACTCCCCTGTCTCACGTCTGGTCTCGCCGTCCCTCCCGTGCTCGACCTGTCTCCCCTGTCTCGTGCTCTCACCCTATGTTGCTTTGTTCCCACGCGTCTCGTCCTCCCCTTCTCCCGTCGCCCCCTCCGTCCTCCCTTGTCATTGCTTCCCACCCTCTGTCTGACTACCTGCGTGCCGCTCGTCCTCTTGTTCCTCGGGTCCTTGCCTCTCTCGTTACCGACCCATTTATTCCGGTTTTGAGCCTTGACGCCCTTGTCGCTGCGGTCGCTGACTTCGCCTCTACCCGCCGCCTTGACTACGCCACCGCTCTGGTCTCTGACCCTGCCTGTCCTCCGTCTGTCGGGGGTGCTCTTCCCCTTGGC